TTTATCTTAAAAAATTTATCATTATAGCTTGATATATAAACAAATAAATGAAGATACTCCTAGATCTTGAATTTTGTAATTCTCCTTTAATCACAGCTCCATTCCTTTTGTTAGTGTTATCCTAATAGTTGTTAGTGTGTTTAACCCTTGTGCCATTCAGTAATCGGCATTAAGAACAATTAAATCAAAACAATTAAGACAATTTAATAGTTAAGATCATGAGTCAATTGAAGCTAGACTACCATGAAAAACGTGGAAGCACTTGGCAACCATTTCATCCTATTGTGGAACTCCTCAGCAATGCGCATCCACGATTCCGCCTAGCAAGTTTCGAATCAAGGATCTATCAGTCTCTCGTGCAAATACTTAACCTCTAGACAACGGAGCTGGCCGGCATCCAACGGTGTTAATTTCTAAATTCAACTAATTCATGAAATTGAGCAATACATCTATCACGACCACCACCGATAGGTCCTGGGTTTGAATCCCGCGAGGCAGGATCGTGAATACGCACTGCCAAAGAGGAGTCCTATAATAGGACGAAACGGTCATCCAGTGCTTTCATGTTTTCCATGGTGGTCTAGCTTCAAACGACTCATGATTTCAACCATTGAATATAAAAATATTTTTCTTCTCTTTCTTCATATACTTGTATTAATTGATTTTCCTGAAAATAAGAATAGAAAAATAAAAAATGGTTTCTGTATTTCATGAATATTGGAAATTTAATGCAATTGGTTGTACCATTTTATTTTTGTAATATACAAGGTTAACTAAAACAAAACATTAGGACACGAAAAAAATTTCATACAAGTAGACGACCATTAATTTTCCTTTGAAGTAAAAAACGGTATAAAAACATGAAAACAAACAAACATCAATCTATTCTTGAGTGTTGTTAGAGGTATGAGGGTGGTTATCACTTCCCGGTTGCCTACACCGTCGAAGGGTTCTTCTGGAGGTACCAGAAAAGGAAGTTGAATTAAAAGTGGTCTTAGTAATCTGACCACAGTGACCACAGTGCCAAAAGGACAACTGCTTAAGGTCGGTCACACATGACCTTTTTATGAGTAAATTTGTTGAGACCTTTCCGCCGGAGTTAGATATCCGTGGGATAATGTGAGGTGTGAATTTTTAGGGTCGAATTTTTCTAACCCCACCCTTCCTTGTGGAAAGGCAGCATCGTTGTTAAATTGGTTGTTTGAAAGTAAAAACTTACTGCTGTCACACCTCTGTACAATCAACAGTATGATTTCGCCTTCGGACCTTGGGTTTGCTGGCTTTTAGTCTTATCGCTGTTCAACCTACCTGTCTAGCATGGTAGGACCTTGAGGAACGATTTTTGAAGCATGTATAGCTCGATTGTTTCATCACGATAGGCAAGCCCAACCATCACGTTAAGGTAGCAACAACGGTCAAGCATTAATCTATTCAATGAAAATCATTTCTATAAGGTAGTTGGTAATAACCCTAGCAACTAAATGAGTGTGATGGGGAAAAAAACATTTCAGTGTTTTATTATTAGATAAAGTACCGTTAGTTTGTTATGAAAAAAAACATTTAATCACTATGTTTATCAATTCCGGAAGTGTTGCATTTCACCATTTGAATCTAATGATTAGATGATTTATGAGTTCTTCAAGTTTTTTAGAATTGACGTACCTTCTTCTTTTTGATGAATAAGGGAACGACAATCTGAAAAGACTATAGTCTACAACTTATCCGATGAAACATTAGTCTGCTACAAGCATATCTTATATAGTTAAGAGAGATCAAAAATTGAGAACAGAATCAACATAAATGATAACATACTTCATAGGTCTGTCAAATGATGACAGAGTGTCGGAGACATTATACAATATTTAAGATAGGGATCTCGGTGAAGTTAATTAACTAATTAACTTAGATAATTTAGGGTAAAAGATTCTTATTTTGATGACAATGCTTGGTGAAGTTGTATAATTGTATTTATAGCGATTTAATAAGCATTACTTACTTACTTACGCTTGTTACTCTCAATGGAGCATAGGCCACAGACCAGCATTCTTCAACCCACTCTGTCCTGAGCGTTCTTTTCCAGCTCCATCCAATTCTTGTTCATTTTTCTTATGTCAACCTCCATTTCCCAGCGTAATGTGTTCTTTGGTCTTCCTTTTCTGCTTTGGCCTCGAGGATTCCATGTGAGGCTTATCTTGTGACGCAGTTGTGTGCTTACCTCAATAAGTGTCCTATCCACTTCCAGGGCTTCTTCCTGATTTCTTCCTCCACTGGAATCTTTTTTGTTCTCTCCCATAGTAGGTTGTTGCTAATAGTGTCCGACCAAAGGATCCGAATTATTTTGCGTAAACAACTGTTAATAAACACTTGTATGTTCTGAATGATGGCTTTCGTAATTCGCCAAGTTTCCACTCTATACAGTAGAACTGTACGAATTTGGTGTTGATTGACAGACATTTGTTTGAAGTTTCAGGTGTTCCTCAGTTGTAAATATGCTGCTCTTGTTTTTCCGATCCGCGCTTTCACATCTAAATCAGATCCACTGTATTCATCAATGATACTGCTGAGATATGTAAAGGTTTGTACATCTTCCAAAGCTTCTATAATGATATAAATAGAAATGATTTCTTTCAATATTACACATTATTCACGTTTGAACATAGAATAAAATCAAAAGATCACAGGATGATTTTTGTCCAGTATTATTTTCATATTCAATTCATATCATAACTGTCCAGTTGAACATTCATATTCATTCAGTTTGATTCTAATTCAGTAGATTATACGTTTGTTTTTTTTTACCGGTTTGACATCTATTCAGTATACTACTATGTATACTAATGAAATATCCCATTCATGTAATAGAATGTACAACATGAGTTTTGTTATAATATCTATTTCTGTTTTTAACCCTTAATTCAGTTATTGGTATGAGATTCAAAGACTTTGATGGAGTTTTATTCTTTATTCTCTGAGCTCAGAGTACAAAACTCCATCAAAATCATCCACCGTCCATCTAAAAATCTTCTCCACCAACTCAAATTCATAGACTTATTATCAAACATGATTAAAATAGTTATCTAAATGATTAGATTTGGTTAACTATTAGTATTAGTTCACTTGATATTGTTTTTGTTTTTTATTTATTTGAATCTTCCAATTGATGGCTATCAGGACCCAGTAGCTAAGTGGATAACGCGATGGCGTTTAAAGCAGACGGTACTGGGTTCGAGTCCCAGAGTGAACATCGACTCTGAAATGCAGGTACATCCAGCTGACGAGTCCCAAATAGGACGTCTTGGATTCCACTGCTAGCCACTATCTACCTTTGCTTATTAGTATTAGGTTGTGAAGATTCTGAAGTTTTTTCTCTTGATTGAGATCATGAACTGATTGATGTTAGACCACTATTGAAAACCTAGAAGAACTGGACAGTCGCTTCGTCCTATTATGGGAATTTACCTTGGCAGTGAGCATTCACGACCCCTCTCGCAGGTCTCGAACCCAGGTCCCCGATTTGGTTAAAATGGGAAATAAAATCTTTATCTACCTTCAACATTTTATCATCTTCCTTGTGTTGTGTAAATCTTACTTTAGAGATTACTGATAAGGTATTCGTTGGATATTGTAAAGTTTCTACATTTGTATCTGTGTATATACTAAGACTCGAGCCTAGTACCTATCGTCTAAAAAAGCCTATTGCGTTATCCATTGAGCAACTGTTTTCAAATAGCAACTGGCTTGTCCAATGTGTATCAATTTTATTTGTATACGTTCATGTATTTGTGTTGTTGTTATTCTTACGGACAACAATTGGTCAGTCTTTTTTGTCATATTTTACATTCTATGTGTTGGGGACGTTAAATCCCCAGAACTCATTTGAAAAATGTCCTAATTTTGTAATTTTATTTTGAAAATTTCAATTTCTCGTTTTTGCGCCAAAAGCGCTTTTATCACCTACATCTCGTATTTCCCACTTGGAAGAATTTTAAACACTATTGGTCTGTTGTGTATTTTAGCATGTTATTTTGTAACACTTCCCAAGGACGGTTTTGTACTATATATATATATATATATATATATATATATATATATATATATATATATATATATATATATATATATATATATATATATATATTGATTTCTGTCTTTTATTATCACTCGTGCTTCTGGCTTTTTGCGGAATATACTTCCCCGTTCTGACTTCGATTTCTCTCTCTAGTTAGCGAGTGTGGGACGCAACAGAATAACTAGTATATTGGTTTTTAATCACAAGTCTTTGTTTCGTTCGTAGACCAATTGATTTCGTAATCGCTTCAAACATAGCACTATATGAACTCCCTCGTTATTTATATTCATTTCTTATCGCAGTTGAGATTCAGGTATAGTCATCTGACAAGTCCCAAATAGGATAAAATGCTCTTCCTTTATTCTATAACTAACTACTCATCTAACTGTACTTATAAACTTATGACAATTTAGATCGAATGGAAGTACGTTAATAGGGATTGATTCTATTGTGGTTTATAACATCAAACAACAGATAAATACCAACGCCTATAAAATGACTTTTTACTTTTACTTTATTTACGCCTGTTACTCCTCGTGAAGGAGCATACGCCGCTCACCAGCATTCTCCATCCAACCTTGTCTTGGGCGATCCTTTCCAACTCTTTCCAGTTGTTATTCATCCTATCCTATAAAATGAATAGAAGTATATTTTTCGAATTATCATTGAAATATGTCTATCTCATTCATCATATAATAATATTCAATCTATCTAATAATCATGTTCAACATTATTCTAATAGTACCATTATCACGAATCATTTCTTAAACTATATTTGTTTCTATATGTAAACACCTATATAATAACACCTGAGTAAATAGTTCATTGTTTACATTATTATAATGCCTGTTATATTATTTCTCTTTCTTTCTTTCTCCCCCCTCTCTCCCCTTCGGGCGCGCTTTTTCTCATAACCAAATTTTTCATCTAGGTTGTCAACGGTTATTGGATATTTGGAACAATGATTTGTGATATATTCATTATGTTCGATGTATTATTTTGTACTGCATCAATACTCAATTTAGTAGCCATTTGTTTGGATAGGTAAGTTAACTTTTGTCTTCTTTTTTTTTATTATCTCTAATATTTTTCTCACTTTAAATTTTATTATATTCAACCATCGTAATGAAAGTTTTATGATGGTTTTCATCGCTATTTCATCCGTGTTACATATATATTCAGTGATTTCACTGTAGACCATAGTGGATGTGTCATTCAATTTCGTGAATTGGTTGAAGTTAAACATTAAAAACGTTGAATACTGGCCAGCTCAATGGTTGCGGTCGCGAGCGAGATCGATTGATCAAGGGTTCGAATCTCGCGAGGTTGGATCGTCCATGCGTACTAATAAGGAGTCCCGTAATAAGTCGAAACGTCCATCCACTGCTTCCATGTTTCCCATGGTATTCTAGCTTCAGTGTATTATGTAATGATACCGCCAAATAGAGAGTAGTGAATTGTCGATCGGACCAATGACGCATAAAAGAATTACGAGCAGTTCAGAGTCCTTATCGGTCCTGTTTCCTATCTAGCCCTACCTGTCAAATCCAGAACACCAATCTCAGCCTCTGCAATATGAATCACTTATTTCAAGCATACTTGGTTTATATACCAACTAAACAGACCACATCGTACCGTAAAATAAGAAGCAATATTTGTATAAGATTTAGCCAAATGTGGCTGTGAATGTGGGAGATAGTAAATGATGGACTGGGCATAATTCAAGAATGGTATATCATATAATAATAGTCTATGGGCCAAATGGAAGCTTATAATAAGAGGAACATGAATATGAATAGTTCAGTTACTTAACAATTATACGATAAAAAAATATATATAGTATTAATTCAGTAATAGATTCCAACAGTTACCATTCATTATGCTTATCGGGATATAACAGTGGAATAGGCTACTTATGTCGACAGACATGAGTAGTATGTAAGATTAATCGAAATGGAAAACCTGACAGCAAAGGCTATGAAAGTTAACTTGAAGGAATTAGGAACGGAAATAGGGAGGAATTATGAAACGAAAAAAACATACCTAATGTAAAGAACAAATGATAAAAATTTGCAAATGAAGTATTCAGTATATGGTTCATAGATTTTACCAAAAGATTCCGTAAATTGATCGTCCACCCCAAAGTTCTCATTCATTAGCGTTTTATGATCATTTTATAAAAAGTTTTCATTCAGATTACTAGTCTTAACAACAACAACAAAAAAAGGATTCAACTAAACAAAACACATACACATTACCAATAAATACTAATTGAGTGATTCACTATGTGTTATTAATTTTCTTGTGTTGGTTTTCATTTGAATACAAATCGACGAAAAAAGAAAGAAAGAAAAGTAAAGGAACAAGAAAAAAATAAATAGAGTAAATGTTATCACGACGATTGTCTTGACTATTGATGTTTATTTGTCTTGTTTCATTCTCAGTATAGGGGTTGTAGAGTTTATTAAGTTTCTGATTGAGATCAAGAAACGATTGATGTTAGACTATCATTCAAAACCTGGAAGCATTGGACAGCCATTTCGTTCTATTATGGGACTCCTCAGTAATACGCACCCACGATCTCTTTCGGAGGATTCGAACCCAGGGCCTTTAGTCTCGAACGTAAATGTTTAATCCAACTAGACCACTGAGCCGGTATCCACTGGTGTTAATGTGTAACCTTAACGAATCCATGAAATTGCTCAACCATTTTCCATTGTACTGAGTTAGAGTTACTTGTCTCTACTCAAAATCAATTAGCTCTACTGGTCATGGCTTCTTACTAGAACTCCAAGAATTCCCTCATGAATCAAGTCATTAATGAGCACATGATAATTATCAGTATAAGGATTGTGGTGATTATTTCATTCTCTTTTATCTGTTTTTTTTTTGCTTTTTAAGCAAGTCATTGAGTAATAAATCAACATGTTTTTCCCTTCTTTTACTTGATTTACATTTAAGACATAGTATAAATAAATCTGAGGTAAACAATATGAGAAAATGAGATTATATAACATAGAAAGAAAAAAAGAAGGGAATGAGTAACCGAAAAAAACGACAACAACAACAGAAAAGACACTTGTTTACCAGTACCTTTTTATTATCGAGAATAGAAATAAGTGATAATCACAACCAATATATGTATATATATATATGCATTTGAATGAATGATCTAATGAATGGAAAAACAGTGTTCATGTTTAATAAATATCCGTTCATTCGATCGTTGAATCAGTCACCCACCCACCCACCCATTTACCCAATCACTCACTCACTCATTCACTTACTCAGTAACCCATCAACCCCCACCCATCTATAATATAAATTTAAATTTTTTTTTATAAAGATAACAATTTTACAAATCATTCTATATTTCTCTTTTTTCCTTCATCCATCTTAGATATATCCATTTAAAAAAAAACAACAACAACAACAAAAGGAAACATAATTCGAGTTGTTTTCTACTTTTATCTCGTCACGATTTTTTGTTTGTTTGTTTGTTTGTTTGCTTTTTCTGTGTGTTTTTTTTTCGTTGAAAAGATTGAAATGACTGGTAGATTATACATGATGAAAAAGAAAAAAAACAAAATAACTAAATAAACAATGAGTTTTGTTCTTTGATCTGAATAGTTTGTACTGATGATGTCGTTCAGAAAAAATGCCGAAAGTTTTACGATCAAACTGTCCAATTCAGACAACAAAACTCCATCAACATCATTTTCTACCATCTCAAAATAAATTTTCATTATGAGCTTGTAAAGATTTTTATTGAAATCATCCTAATATAAATGTATATAAGTGTGTGTGTGTGTGTGTGTGTGTGTGTGTGTGTGTAGGAAGACTCATTCACAATGCCCCCAAATGTTCTGATACGGCCGAGAGTGAGGAGAGTCCGCTCTCTCCCTCGAAATGCTCTCACATGGCAACGCGTATATAGCCTCTACCAGGGAAGTCCTACTCACTGCCTTCTCGTGGCGGGGGTGTTGTTTACGAAAATGAGAGGACGAAAAGCTAATGTCCGGCGCTTTAACCGGATCCCAAACCAGTGGTGCACATGGGCTCCAGTATCCTGAAGGAACAAATGGCGTATGAACCAATTTCTTGGTCACCGGCTTCCATGGGACTGCATCTCTTTACGATGCTCCACTGCCTTGTGGGTAAGACGTTCAGGTCGAAGGCTCGTGGTGTGGCCCCCTAAGAAAACCACCTGCTTCGGTTCGGGCACCCGGGCAGTATCATAGCCTTTACACAAATCAATTGAGATTCGTGTGGCGCATATGTATTTGGTGCCTCCGTGTACCAATACCTATGTGTTAAAATAAATAAAATAAATAAATAATAACATACACACAATATGTAGATGTGCATAAATCTTAGTTAATGAAAATATGAAAACAATTGGGAAATCGCCATTAGTATTACAAAAACCAGAAAGTAATGAATAACTATTTAGTCTTATACTTATTAATGACTAATATTGATATTTAATTACTGGGATTCTAGTAAGAAGCTGTAATTAGTCGAGTGTAAGACAGTTATTTACATAAAGCAATAAAGAATGAATCATCCATCATTTTGATTTCATTGAAGTTACACATATACATTATTGAATTTTTGGGTCAGTAGTTTAAAAGTTAAGGATTTATAAATGAGATGGTGAATATTCACCGTTGACGAACTATATACTAATGATGAAACAGCTGTCCAGTACCTCTTAATGTCCAATGGTTATCTAACTGATATCAATCCGTTACTTAATTAATTAGAATAATTAGCTTTATATTAATTTGTTTCAATCAGCTCCAATGATATCACCATATATTAGGGTTAGAATAGAAATCGGTTTCAGGCTCACATTTTGTTACATGGTAGCACTTCTGGAGAGTGATACAGTAAACCAAGTATGGTTTCCATGGCTAATGAATACAAATCACCCCACTGGTAAATTATAATCTCATCTCGAACATTGAACCTTGCAGATATTACAAATAATCTCAAACCTGGATCAGATATAAAACTTAGTTTAAATTAGACATTAACACTGTAAGATGCCGGCCAGCCAAGTAGTCTAGAGGTTAAGCGTACGCACGCGAGACTGATAAGTCCTCGGTTCGAATTTCACGAGACGAGATCGTGAATGTTCACTTCTGAGAAGTCCTAAAATAGGACAAAACGGTCATCCAGTACTTCCAGATTTTCCATGGTAGTCTAGCTTCAATTAATTCATGATCTCAACCATTGAAATTACTATAAAAACTTTTGTTGACTATTCAAATCACTTTTTAGTTAATAAGATTCCTTAATGAAAATTAACTTGAAATTGTAAATAATCTTTTCAACAACAACAACAACAACAACAAAAACCCAACTGATGAAACTATTTATTCATTAGGATCTCAATAACAACAACAACAACAAAAGAATAATTAAAACAAAACAATGTTTATTTAGTCAATTTGTACATCCTGTATGTGTGTGTGTGTAGTATGTATGTGTGTATGTATATTCAGGAAATAACAATACATTAACTGATAAAATAACACTAGACATTTACTTTACACTATACTATCTCTCTATTTCTATTTCTTTACTCTTCATTTCATATCAGTTAGCAACAATCAAGGGTAAGTTTTTTTTTATTTTTTATTGTTTTCATTTAAAGAATGAGTGAACAACATGAATAATGTTACTATTTTTAGATTTATTGTATTCTACAGATTATTTTTGTTTACTTTCTTTAATCATCATCATCATCATCATTCTCTATTCCATGATATTTCTGTTTTTGTTTTTTATATGACTCTTATTTATTTATTAACCATTTCCTTAGAAAAAGAAAAAGGCATTCTCTCTTTCTTTTTTTGGTTTTCTTTTCTTTTTATTTTCATTTATTGTTTTTTTTTACAAGATCTCTTTATAATGTATATGTTTCTTCTTTCTTCTCTTTCTCTCCTTCGCCCCCCCCACTATTTCTCCCCCTCTCTCCCTCGCTATCTTCCCTCTCTCTCTCCCTTTTCCTGTTTTTACATTTTTGTGTTTTATAAAAAACATCTATACATATTGGCAAACATATAGAATGAAATAGTAAGAGTTATATTGTAAGTTAATATTTACCACTTAGAACCTTGGTCTCCTTTGCCAAATATATATATATATATATATATATATATATATATATATATATGTCATTTAATCAATTCATTGTGGCTTATGCTCCTTCGCGAGGAGTAACAATCATAAGTAAGTAAGTAGGAAGTAAAAGATAAGAGACAAGATAGACCCGACGATTTAAAGTAAAGAAAATTGTTCCGTCTTTAATAGAATAGATTTCACCAGTGTTAAATGAGAAGTTAATCAAATAGAAGGAATCATTTTATAAAAAGTTTGGTAGTGGATTACAAGAGAATATAGAATAAACATATTTTTTCTTCTTACTTGAGACTTACTAATTAAATTGTGAAGTATGTGATATTAATCTTGGTGTAACTAGTCCTACTAGTATCAAGCTAGATTCATCTGAAGAATACTAAATAAGACCATTTTGTTGGGATAAGATGGTTGTTGGAGGTAGTCAACAAGAAACCCTAGAAATGGGTTTCGTGCTACTACTACACACATGACATTCATCACCACCCAGTGATCAATCAATTGTGATTACATTTCAGTCCGACAGGAGGTCAGTCACTGCCCGACTTTGAAGCTGGGTGACACGGGATCGAATCCGTCAGGGAGCACTAGTTGCCTCAAGATTACAGGTGCACATTGCTGATGACTGCCAAGTAGCACGAAATCTGAGTTCAGAGTTTCTTGTTGACTACCTTGAACCACCATCTTATCTCAACATAGTGCACGCAATGTCGAGTCGCCTAGACTAGTAGCCACATTGCAACTTGGTCAATAGCATTCGATTTGCACTAAGAAGGACTTGACACACATGATATTGATCACCACCCAATGATCAATCAATGGTGAAGACCACTTTTTCCTAGTATTAGACTACTCAGAAGTGCATATTTAAAATCCTTTGAGAATTCCTACATTTGATCTATGGTAGAGTTACGGATGTGAACAATTCAGTAGTCCAACACTAGATTGGAACAACTATCTTGTACATTCTGCTTGTTAATGGTTGTCTAACTTAGATCAGTAGATGATATAAACTCAGAATTTATCTGCAACTAGTATGATTGCAACGAACAATGTGAACAAGTGAATTTATCATACTTTCATTCATCTAAGTTAATGTTAGCACTTCATAATTTAATCAACCTTTTACCCATTCATCTGCATAAAAATATTTTACATGTTTGTGTATTTCTAATTACTTTCTTGTAAAATATAAATAACTAAATTTATATCAAATTGATACCATGAATCAATCAATGTTAGACGACTATTGCAAACTTTAATCACTGGAGGGCCGTTTCATCCAAGTACGGGACTCCTCAGCAGTGCGTATCCACGATCTCCTCCTCAGATAGATTGGTTGAAGTTAGACATTAACACCATAGGATTTCGGCTCAGTGGTCTAGAGGTTAAGCGTTCGCGCGCGAAACCGATAGATCCTGGGTTCGAATTCCAAGGGGCGGGATGGTGGATGAACACTTCCGAGGAGTCCTACAATAGGAAGAAACGGCAGTTCAGTGCTCTCAAGTTTTCCACACGGTAGTCTAGCTTCAATTAACTCATTATCTCAACTATTAATGGGTTAATGGTTCAAAATAAAGAATACACATTCCTCAATCATGGCCAATTGATACACGCCCAGTTGAATAGATTATTAATAGAATGGAGGAAATTTGTTTATTATCATGTAGAATGAAACTGTCCACTTAAATTAGTATGTATAGTTTGATCAAGTAATACAACGTAAAGATATCGATGAATGAATATCTGAAAACCTAATAACAGGTTAGCAACAACGAGTTAATATATCTATATTACATTATGACAATGATATGGAATAACCAATACAAAATAGTCCATATCATTTAAAATACAAATGATTCTAAAAAGTGGAGTTCAATAGGTCAAATTAGCATCTGTTCACAATCAGATCTAACTATCCATCTGAGTTACTGTTTATCACATCAACTAAATTGTAAATAATTCAAAATAGTAACTTTTGTAGAGATTCATGAGTCAATTAAAGGTAGAACATCATGAAAAATCTGAAAGCAATGGATGACCATTTTATCCTATTATGGGACTTTTCAGTAGTAGTGCGCATCCACGATCCCACTGTTGGGGAAGTCAGATCCCCAGAACTCTTTTAGAAAACGACCTTATTTTGTAATTTTATTTAGAAAATTTGAATTCTTTTGTTTTCGCGCCAAAAGAGTTTATTTTAACCTTCATGTCATATTTCCCACTTGGGAAATATCTTATATGCTATTGGTCCGTTGTGTCTTTTAGTATTCTATTTTGTAAATCTCTTTAAGGACGGTTTTGTACTGTATATATACGTTTTGATTTGTGTTTGTTGTTATCGCTCGTGCTTCTGGCTGTTTGCAGAATATACTTCCCTATTCCAAGCTTGAACTTCTTCCTCTAGTTAGCGAAACTGGGACTCATCAGAATATTTAGCTTATTGGTCTTAGGTCATCGAGTCTTTGTTCTCATTCCCAGATTAAGTAAACTCATGATCACTTCAAACCTAGCACTCACCCTACAAGATTCGAATCCAGGATCTATCAGTTTCAAGCGCATACGGTCAATATTCAACAGTACTAATGTTCTTACACATAAATATTATTGTTTTCTTTTTTAATCCACCACCACCAACCAACCCCCTACTCCTTATTAATATTATTTCTTTTTCTATTTTATAATATCTAGGTATTTAGCTGTAACCAAACCAATAATCTATGCAAAACATAATAATATGAAACGTGTACAAATATCTATAGCATTAGTATGGATTGTATCATTATTCATAGCTATACCATTAATATGTGGTTTAAATGTAAATCGTTATAATGATCCAACCATATGTCAATCATTTAATGCCCTATATATTATTTGTTCCTCATTAGGTTCATTTTATTTACCAGCTATTATATTAATTGTTGTTTATCAACGTATATTTGCTTTAATTAAACAACGTCATAAATTATTACGATTAAATCAATCATTAAAACAACAACAACAGCAACATTCATCATCCTTACCACAATTACAATTACAAAGACAACAGTCAAGATTACATGAAGATGAGGATGATGATGATGATAATAAAGAAGAAGAACATGAAGGACAAGAAAGAGAAGAAGTAGAAGAAGAACCACGACAGAAACATCAACAATCTACTGTGCAATTATATGATACACCATCACCAACAACAACAACAACAACTACAACAACAAGAACAACAACTACTACTACTACTATGATGAATTCAAATGATGAAATTAGTTATTCTGAAATACAATCGTCTTCACCAATCAAAATATTAAACTATATAAACCAATATGATCCAGATCATAAACCATTTATGAAAGAATTAAATCAAATCAATGATACTGATCATGAATTATTGAATGAATTAGATGAGAATTTGATTGATGTAAATTTTGAAGGACCACGTTATGATATATCATCACCAAATTTAAATAATTCTGATCGATATATAATAACAATCAATCATAGATATTCAATAGATTATTTTAAATTAACCAATCAAAATCAAAGAATAAATATCAATGAAAAGAATCAATTAAATCAATTAAATAATTCTGAAATAGATTTAAATACAATACAATCAATTGAATCACCTAAACATATATTGAATCATTCAAATGATGTATCACTTATATCACCATATACCAAAGATGATGATGATGATGATGACGACGACGACGATGATGATGATGACGATGATGATCATCATCATCACAATGAATCTAGGACTATATATCAATGTGGTTATCTATATAATATATCACCTTATAAACAATTAGAAAATAAGAGAAAAAAATCACTTCCAGAACAAAAACAAATTATTCATGATTCTTCAATCATATTAAAAGAAGTAAATTGTAGTTCAATAAAACAATCAAAATCTTCTATATCATCAACTTCTTCTTGTCATCATCATCATCATCATCATCATCATCATCATCATCATCAACATCATCATCAACATCATCATATCTTATTTAAATCCAATATAAGAAATCTATTCAAATTATCATGGATTCATAGTTGTTTAAATAATTCACATGTATATAATAGTTCTTCATCAAATAATTCTGAATATTCATGTCCTGGACTAAGTTCAGAAGAGATAACAGATTATAGTATTAAATTAAATAAAGGTCAGTTTTTCAAGAATTATAATGGTGAACAAGAAGAAGATAACGATGATGGTGATGATGACGATGATGATGATGATAATGATGATGATGATGATGATGACGATGGTGATGACGACAACGAAGATGAGAATGATGATGAATTAACTTCATGTAAATATTGTCAAAATGAATTGAAATCTAATTTATTATATCAATCTAATTTTAATCATTCATATGAATGTATTCAATGTCAACCTATTATATTTCAATATCATTGTCAATCATTTAATCAAAATAAATTTATTACATTAAAAAATTATCATCAAATATATTGTTGCCATAGTAACGGATTTCTTAATAAAACTCATCAAATAATCAATAAGAAAAAAATAAAAAATTCAAAAAATAAATTTAAATTTAAAATTGCCCGCCATAACCATATGATTCTATTCAATGATCAATTTAAACAAAATTTACAATTTTTTATAAAATATTTAACAAAATTATTTAAATTTATACATATTAAAACAAATATAAATTATCCTATTAATCATCATCATAATAATAATAATAATAAAACAAGTACAAATAATTCTATACTACCTATTGATATAGATATAAGTAGTGGTAAATCAACACAAAAAACATTATATAATCAAAGTCCTAAATATATAACAATAAAAAATAAAAATATTCTATCAAATAAAGAGAAAAAAGCAACTAAAACATTAGCTATTGTATTAGGTAAGTTCATTGGCCTAGCAACAACAACAACAACAACAACAACAACAACAATAACAACAACAACCGAAAAAACATTTGAATATAGTAACTACAAGTGAAATTTAGGATATAGATCTTATTGCATTTAGCATATATAGATTAATATCAGAAGGGGGTTGTTTTTTTGTTTTATGGATATGATAGTAATTTTTTAATAGTTGAGATCACAAATTAATTGAAGCTATATTATCATGAAAAATTTAGAATCAATTGGATGATTATTTTGTCCTATTATGAGACTCCTTAGTAATGCGAATCGATGATTCTAAAAAATGGAATTTGAATCCAGAACCTATCAGTCCCGGCCGGAATCCGATGGTATTCATGTTTAATTTTAATCAATCCACAAAATTGAATGACATATCTACTATTGTCTTTCATGAGTTACTATCTTACAACAGACCCAGTTGATGTTGACTGAGAGGGGGAAGTGTTCGGGTTAAGAGATATTGAATTTGAGATTATAATTTATTGAATAAATCAATTAGATTTAGGATAATAGATCTTGGATTTTGATGTGAAATACATTTATCCATCGGGCTAAATAGAGTTTTAGCATTTCAGCTGATGTTAATACATGATGAAATTCATAAATCTAAATCCTAACCCTTACCAACAACTGTAAATCATTATTTTTATTCCTCAAACTACTTTATAACCTTCATTTAGTCCTAGATATTAGGTGGACACTTTCAAAGTGACTTTGGTGTCGCTCATAAATTATAGTCCTACCAGATGTGGATATAGTGAAATCTATGATTCATATCTCATTGTATTTGGTACACATAAATTATTCAATCATTAAGATCATGAGTCAGTTGAAGCTAGACCACCATGGAAAACCTGGAAGCACTGGACGGCCGTTTCGTCCTATTGTGGGACTCCTCAGCAGTGCGCATCCACGAACTCGCCCCCTGCGAGATTCGATCCCAGGACCTACTGGTTTTGCGCGCGAGCACTTAACCACTAGACCACTGTCATATAGATTAGATGATGACTTGAAGGGGGGGGAGGGTTAAAGTTAAGAGGTATTGAATCTAAGAATCAGTTTAAATATCAACACTAGGATGCTAAAACACATTCAATTGATTAATCACAAATAAGATTAAATGTGTATCCTGCATTCTACTATTAGTTGACTCTAATGAAAACTTGTGGAAACATTCCAATATCGATGTGATTGACACAGAATGCATATATACATTAATAGAGATAGATTAGTTGAATCTCTTTACATTTATAATTGTAAAATATGAACCCTTCCAAATTGCGAGAAACTTAGCTTTTTTATTACAAGATTGTACTAGGCTAGACAATCAATAAAACTAAAGAGAATTAGAAATTTTGCCAACATCCAACAGAAACTCCATATAAAACAGTTTTAATGTACTTAAAAGTCATAAGCTGAATACATCTATATTGCTTGAATGAGTATGGAATGAAAATGAACAGCCCTAACATTTTAAATGTTACTTCAAAACCTATCTACATCAGTAACTTATTTGATCATAGAAAACTGAGTGTAATGATCACTTCATCTAGCCTAAGTATTTCATTGACCCAGGTAGATCAATGGTTGAATAAATGTCAATATTAACACAAAATGAGATTGGTTTACGTCAATATATGGCATTTATCGAAGTAGTGAATTTTTTGTCTACATCCAAGAAGTTCCCTCAGTACTTCTTCATATCTGTAAAGTCTACCAATCGAAGGTAAAATACGTGTGTATGTCACTAGAATGGTAATAAAAAGGTCTTTCAGCATTTTCCAGAATACAGATAAGCCATTATATAAGTTATTTTAAGGTTATGCATATGAGCACTTCATGGAGTCAAATAGCCAAACTATAAACTTTTATCAGTTTAAAAGGGTAAGATATATAATATATAGGCAAAACTGTCATTACTTCTCATATATGAATTAATGACTATATAAGTGTATGAAAGAAGAAAGGTGAATATAGTCAGACTAAAGGAAGACATCAATTCCCGGTTATTTTAGCAAGTTCACGTGGTAATTAAAATCCATGGTTGAAGACCTTATTTAAAGTAGCTCAATATCAATGGCATAAGTACACAGGTATGAAATCTTTATCTTCAAAACAATTCCCAGTTTTAGTATTGTTTCACTATCTATTAGCATAATATTTGCCGTAAAACCTAGATGTTCTGAATTCGGTTAAAAGGTATGTATGTGAATTTCACTGTTATGGAGTTCTATGTTAGAAAGAAATAGAGATCCAATACTCTTTGATTTCTAATGGCATTCAAGTTAAGATCAAACTGTAATGAATATTGTATACTAATTAAAGCAGTACTGACAGAACCCCTCTGAATAAATCAGATTTTCAATGTTTTTTTCTTTTCTACCATGGCTGATACTACGATTTATCTTGACTCGTCTGTCTTTCTCAATCGACTGAAATGAAGAGTAAGAATTTGAAGCAGTTTGTCTGTCATCTAATTTTCTAATCAAAGTGGTTAGAACAAGATAATCAAAGATTAGTGTAACTCATTTCTTAGTTTATCATGTGTATATTCAATTGAACAAGCTTGATCGAAGCTTTGAATCTGAAATGCGATCATATTTCACTGATCTCATTAATCAACGTTCTTCAAAATCAAAATTCCATAACCAAACTTAATTATCTTGTTTGATCAATAAGCGGTAACCAATGTTGTATTTACGAAGTCCTCATAAATACCATCAAACTTTTATCATCCTTTCACTGTGGCAAAGTTTCAAATCCATAAGAGAGGATTAATTCCTTCAACTGTAAAACACAGCTTAATGGGAAATTTAGACTACAGTTTAACTTTACCGTAGTATGTTTCATTGATTGTCTACAAAAAAAAACTAAAGTTCAGAACTCATTATTAATTTCATGGTTTACAACATTGAATAACCTAATCTAAACACCTAATAGAAACAAGAATGTACTTGATTCCTCCAATAGTCCACATCGATAGCTCTATTGCTAATCGTACCCAAGCCTACCAATAAGGATTGAAGTTATGACCTACTGAGCTCCCATCTAATAGGCTTTATTTATAACTTCAAATCAACTCATAATATTTTACAATCATCTTCAAATGGAATTCATACGTAACAATCTCACAGTAAGAATAACTGAACTCTATTATTCATAGCTACACATTAGAACACTTAGAATTACTGAGATGGTAAAGAAGATTTGTAGCTCAGGTGGATGATTTTGATAGAGTTTGGTTCTCTGAGCTAGATGGTTTGGTCGTGGAGATTTCATCATTCTTCTGAACGATATCATCAGCACAAACTTCACTTCTACCTAAATTTTCTACTGATGATGTCGTTTAAAAGAACGATGAAAGCTCCACAACTAAACCATCCAGCTCAGAGAACAAAACTCCATCAAAAACTTAGAATCACTTTTTATATTTAATCACTATTCATAATTTTATTGAATACATTACCATTATAAAATAAATATTGATTTTCTTTTTTTTCTTTTTTCTCTTTTCTTTTTTTTTTTAATTTTTCATTATTTTAGGTGTTTTTCTAGCATGTTGGTTACCATTTTTTTCTATTAATATTGGTTTAGGTTTATGTATCTATTTAGGATCAGATCAATATGGTATATGTGAATTTGCTAGTAAATTAATGTCGTCATGTACATGGCTTGGTTATATTAATTCTGCATTAAATCCAATTATTTATACAATATTCAATATGGAATTTCGTTTAGCATTTCAAAAACTATTACATATCAAATAATAATAATAATAATAATAATAAGGAGGAGGAGGAGGAGGACGACGAAGAGGAGGACTGAAGGTGAATTCTAATAGATTACTGTAATTATTTTCTATGAATGTATATATATAAAGTGAAAATAATCAATAAATTGATGTATTTTGTATTGAAATTTGAAGGGGGTGTGGTGTAGGGGTGGGGGTGGAAGTTGGTTGGAAACAAAAAGTGTTATGTTGTTAAGTGGTTTTATTATGTTTCGTAAAAAATTATTTTCTTATCGTTCAAAGAGAGTTAATGAGGATGACATTGGCTTAATTGGTGTAAAACCATCCTCCTCTGTAATTGAGTGATCCTATTTACTATGAACATATCAATGATTGAATTCCCAACATTATATTCACATGTTCTACATATAGAATTTCCCATTGCCTGCTTTTATTGACCTAAATTACTTTTTCTTAAGACTGAGATCATGAATCGGTCAATTTCAGACCAACATTGGAAATCTGGATGCACTGGACGTCCGTTTTATCCTAGTATGAGACTCAACTATGCGCACCTACGACTCCGCATCTGGGATTCGAAAGCAGGACCTTCGGTTTTGTGTGCAAAACGCTAGACCTTTGGTTTTCAGTACTTCCTTGAATGATATTAAGGATATGATGAAATTTCTACACAGAATTTGGTGCTAAGAGATTGATAATTTTTTTGTTGGAGAGTAGATTTTAAAACTGATTTACCGGTTATCAGTAGTTAAGGTTATTTTGTGTTATTTATATTAGTATCAGAAGGGGTTTTGTAGATATTATAATAATTCCAATAGTTTTGATCATGGAAAACCTGAAAGCACTGAACAGCCGTTTTGTCCTAACATTGAACTACTCATCTGTGCGCATCTACGATCTCACCCACAGGATTCGAACTCAGAACCTAATTAATTAATGTACACATATATTGGCATATTGTAAAAAAAAATTTTATTAAAATTCAAATAGAAATGAGAACTATCATATATGTCATACCATATATAAAGAAATATCTAAAAAATATCATGAATAGATTAAGCATTCCACCGGTGAAGCCCAAAATCATGAATTCGAATCTTGTTGGGTAGGGGTCATGGATACTGATTGTTAAGGTATCCTATACTAGAACGGAATGTTTGTTCAGTGCTTCCAAGATTTCAATAATGATGGTCTAGATTCAATGAACTCATGTATTCAACTATGAAATTTATTGTTTGTTTCCCTTTTTTCTTTATATTTTCGTTTTGTTTAAAGATTATTGTTTGTGATTACAATCAATAATATGTATACTTATAATTAATATTATGCATAATTTCATTTATATTTAAATGAAGGGAACAGAAGAAAATAGGAAATTTTTTATTATTATTATTATTATTCAAAAGAAAATAATTTCATAATTGGAATTGATTCATTAAAATAATGTTGCTGATTTTGTTTTTCTTCTTCAAACGTTTTAAGATGGTGGAGAAGATTTGTAGATCAAATGGATGATTTTCATAAGAGTTTTGTTTCTTTGAACTGGATAGTTTAATTGTGAAGCTTTCATTATTCTTCTAAATGATTCAATTGTATTTGAATTTTGTACTGATGAGGTCGTTCAAAAAAGAACAATGAAAGCTTCATGAGTAAACTATCCAGCGCAGAGAATAAACTTCCATTAAAATCTTGTACACAACATAAACAATAAGCGATATTTGTGGAATGCAGCTCGACCTAGACCTTATGGTAGTTGAAACTGGTTGGTAAATATACTGTAGTGGCTTTGCTTTGTTAAACAATCGTCGCCGTAACCGTTTTGGAATCAGAAGGCCATGAGAGGCGGTAACTACAATTTAATAGCGGATAGCGAAGATCACAAAGTTATAAACACATCGAGCGTATTTGAAGCGGAGAGGCAAATAAGTGTATGCGAGCAATTACTTCCATTCTGATTCAATGTGATGATCATTCAGGGTAGTATTTGATTTGTGAAGCAGTTAACCACTTAAAACGATGAAAGATGGCCGTTTAATTTTGTGGACCGATCGAGTCTAGACATTAACACCGTTGGATGTCAACTCAATGGTCTGAAGGTTGAGCGTTCGCGGTGGATTCGGTGTTTGCGTGAGGGTTGGTTGATGCCAACTGTTGAGTAATCCCATACTAGAACAAAACAGCCGTCCAGTGTTTTCAGGTCTTCCTTTAGTTTTCTAACTTCGATTGGTTCATGATTCTAACGACAATCGTAAATAATCCGTAAACGATTGATAAATAAGATAACCGATTGCTTACTTACTTACCTACGTTCTCCTGTTAACCGTCGTGGAAGAGCATAGATCGCCTACCAGCATTCTCCAATACAACTCTGTTCTAGACAATCCTTTCCAATTCTTTCCAGTTGCTATTCATCCTTTTCATGTTTGCTTCTAATCCTCAATGCAATGTGTTCTTTGACTTTCCTCTTTTCCGTTTCCATTCAAGATACTGAGTTGGCAATTGACTGGTGATTCAGCTTGATAATTTCCGTAATGTATATCCTATCCACTTCCAACATCTTTGTCTAATTTGAATGTAAACATTATAATCGATAAAATGGAGTACTATATTTGTTACAATTTGTAAAGTAATCAATATGTTTCCCTACCTTACTAACTACTGAATTCTGTACAACAATATTTAACTATTGCAATCGTATTATTCACTAATAATCAACAAATACATTAAGGTATCTATAAGGATCTAGATAGTTGTTGTGCCCCGACGAGAATAATGAATGGGAACTGTTAGAATCTATTTCTGGACTAATACTATACGTAGATTTTTGTCGTATAATTGTTAAATAACTAAACTATTCACATTCGTGTTCCTCTTATCATAAGCTTCATTTTGACCTATGAACTATGATTATACGTTTTACCATTCTTGAGTTATGACCTGTCTATTAATTACTACCTCCCTCATTCATAGCCACATTTGGCCAAATATTGTACAAATGTTATTTCCTATTTTATGGTACGATGTGTGGTTTGTGTGGTTGGTATATAAACTCAGTATGTTTGAAATATAATGATTCATATCGCCGAGGCTGAGATTGGTGTTCTGGACTTAACAGGTTGGGATAGGCAGGAAGTAGGATCAATCAGAACTCTAGGCTGCTCATACGGGTTATACGCGTCATTGATTCGATCGATAATTCACTGCTCTCTAATCAGTGGTCACAAGTTATAACAATAGTATGTATATCATAGTCTTTTATTCAAACTATTCAAGATGAATTCATTCCGCTTATCAACTATTTATCAACTGATAGATAATGATGGAAAAAGAATTCAGTCAATGTGTTTACATACAATCTATTGATAACATTAGTTAATCACTACTTTTAAAGTTTAAGATCATCAATAAAAAGCTATGGTAGATTAGATCAATTCATACAACTTCCCAAAAAGAATACGCTTCATCTCGATTATAGATACAATGAGATGACTTTTAACTAACATAGAAAACAAAAACTATTATTATTATTATCAGAAAGGGGGTTTTTGTGGAGATTTCAGTAATATAATAGTTGAATTCATGAGTCTATTAAAGCTAGACCACTATGGAAAATCTAGTAGAACTGGACAGTTGTTTCGTTCTAGTATGAGACTCCTTAGTAGTGCGAATTCGCAACCCCGACCGCGAGATTCGAATCCCGAAATCTATCGGTGTACTAAATTCTCCACAAAACATTCTGATGATAATCATGATGTGTTCACTAGTGACTGGCTCCAACAGTGATTTACTGGAGTTCTAGTGAGAACCAGTGGTCAATCGAGTTCAACTGTGTCTATTGTAAAGGCAGTGACTCATTGAAGACAATGGTGGATGGTCACACAAGATTGTGGATTGGTTGGAGTCAGACATTAACAATGTTGAATGTTGGCTCAGTAGTTTAGAGTTGAACCGTTCACCCACGAGATTGAATGTCTTGAGTTCGAGTCTGTTTGATGCAGGATCATAGATGTACTTGGTTAAGAAATCCCATATTGGGACGAAACGGCTGTCTATGGTTTCCAGGTTTTCTATGGTGGTCTATCATTAATTAACTCATCGATTCAACTATCAAGAAAACCTACCATTAGTCAAAATCAAACATTTGCATGTTATCAAAAACAAAAATGTTGAAATCATTCTAGTAACTACTTATTTCTTTGACATTTTCTTCCATCTTATTATTCTGAATATAAGACATAAATACAAATAAAAACATTAGTAGATAAACTTGTAAATGATAATTTACAGAAACAAACCACCCATGAAATGACAGAATAGACTATTCGATAGTTGGTAACAAGAAGAAGAAGTAATAGCAGTAGAAGTAGGAGTAGGGGGAGGAGGAGGAAGAGGAGGAGGAGGAGGAGGAGAAGGAACTGTTCCCTTCTAATGAACTAAGAAACATGTAAGAGAAAACAGTTGAGTAGAAAAATGGATAAATCGAATTTATCATTCTATTTACTGATCGATTCGATTCGAAATTTCAATAAACTGTTACTGCTACCACTCACACTCCTCCTCCTCCTCCTCCTCCTCCTACTACTACTACTACTACTAGTAATAGTAATAGTAATGGTAATAGTGATAGTAATAATAATATTAATAATAATACGACTACTACTACCACTGCTCTTAGCCTGATCACGAAATGATTTAAAAAAAAAAGGATTGTTTTTTATAAAATCAGAAAAAACAAACACATTTATTCTTTATGAATATGAACATATTTTTTTTCCTCTCTGTGTTTCCAAAGAATGAATGAAAAAAAAAACCCTTCAAGTTATAATAACAATTGACTGTAATACAAAATAGAATCACTATGCAGTATGTTGTTGATTCAAATTTATGCATATTCTTTTCAACCTCCACCCCACCTACCCCCTACCCTACCTTTTAACTTAACAACATCATACATCATAAGGAATATTTTCCCAGTTAGTTAGTCAATATTTTAATATTCATATAGCTAGAATCATTTGACCTAGTTCTAGTTACTAATAATAGTAATATATATATATATATATATATATATATATATATATATATATATTTATATATATATATATATATAAGTAGTATATGCCCGATGTTTATCATATTGATGAAATGAAATAAACATAAAATTAGGTTTGAATAAATAAAAAAATAATAAATTAGATAATGGGTGTTTTATTTCTTAAATGTTTCTGAATGTTAAATGAACAATAATCCGGAAATTTTAAAAAAGATCCTTAGTGATTTCTATTGATACATGTAGTATGTTGAATAAATATGTGAACTAGAGGTCATGGAAAACTTTGTGGATTAAAGATAGACCATCATGAAAAACCTGGAAACTATAAACAGACGTTTCGTCCCAGTATGGGAATTCTTAACCATGTACATCTATGATCCTGCATCAAACAGACTCGAACTCAGGACATTCAATGTCGTGGGTGAACGGTTCAACTCTAAACTACTGAACCAACATTCAACATTGTTAATGACTGACTCCAACCAATCCACCATTGTCTTCAATGAGTCACTGCCTCTACAATAGACACGGTTGAACTCGATTGACCACTGGTTCTCACTAGAACTCCAGTAAATCACTGTTGGAGCCAGTCACTAGTGAACACATCATGATTATCATCAGAATGTGGTTTTGTGGATATTTTAATAATTACGAATTACTAAAATATTCACAAAACCCTACTCTGATAAGAATTTCATTTTCTTAAACAAATATTTCAAATTTATGACTTTACATCTTTGGAAGCCATATGATATCAATATACCTACTTGCCTCGTTATTCCCACATTTACCTATACACAAAAATTCATCAAGCTTAACCGAAAAATAGGTGGCTAAATCACAATGTAAATTGATGCATTTAAGCAAGATGATTAATAATAAAGTGTCTAACAGTTGAATAATACAATGGTTCAATATAACCCATTGAGAATCAAACCATTGATTCATCATAGTTTTAGATTTCTTAAAAGTGTACATCTATGATCTAATAGATAAATTAACAAACGATCTTCCAAACCACGATACGAATATTCCGATACTGAACCATTTTAACATTAACTAATCTATAATATAACATAACAACTATTTAGTACCATACTTTGGTAAATACCTATTTCCCCCCCCCGGCACACACATATATGTATACTCACATTCCAACATCCATAACTTTCGTTTAAAACACTTAACATCTATTTCAAAGCTAATCAATAATTTATATACAGTTCATTCACAAGAGTTTAATAAGAGGATATATTTGTTCTACTTCAAAACTTTTAAAATGGTGGTTGGAGGTAGTCAACAGGAAACTCCTGACGCAGGTTTCATGCTACTTGGCATACGTCAGCAAGGTTTACCTTTAATCTTGAGGGAACTGATACTCCCTGACAGATTCGATCCCGTGTCACCTAACTTCATAGTCACTGGACTATCTGGGCTACGGCTGACCTCCAGTAGGACTGAGATGTATTCAGTAAGAAGTACCTGACTACCGAGTGATCAATCAATTGTGAACACTTCAAAACTTTATTTCAGTTTTTATTCTTTTAATCAACGAAAAATTTAATCATTCAACAACAACAACAAGAACAAGAAAAACGATTTATTTTTCGTGATTAATTAATGACACTTTATCAAATTACTAATTAACCTGAATTGATGATTGAATGATAAAATTAATTACTCAATTAATAGTGAAGAATTAATTGACCTTATTAGTTATTTACTTTTGTTTGTTTAAAATGGTAATAAATTTAGGTCAAAGATAAATTATTTATTACTTTATCAATGGGATCATCATTGAAAGTTTTTAGTTGTATATCAAATGAACAATGTTTAAAAAAGCAATGAAATAACTATGATGATAATATTAATTGCGTTGTGTTTTTTAACGATATAATTTAAACTACTTACAAGTAGGCTAATTATTTATTTCAATATTTGAGAACATGAGTTAATCATGGAAAACCTAGAAGTACTGGACGGCCATTTCATCCTATTGTGGGACACATCAGAAGTACGCATCTACGATGCCGTGCGTTGGTTGAAGTTAGACATTAACACCGTTGGATGCCGGCCAGTTCAGTGGCCTATAGGTTAAGCGGTCGTTCGTGAAACGGGATAGTAGAGGAGTCCCATTGAAATTACTATAATATCCAATAAAACCCTTCTGATATTAATTATTTATTTGACATTTTTCAATATAATTAGTGAAAATCATCTTCCTAATATGTGAATTTTATGGACGGATGAACTGTATTGAATCACTAAAGCGTTTCTATCAAACCAGTATGGTTTTCACATAGGATAAATGTACCATTCATTTATCAGCAGTAAAATGAAAACTTATCAATATGTTGTGTCAGTGCACCGTTTCCTAGTTTAGAAAAAATAATGTCAGTCAACATGGGATCTAGGGGTGAAATCCATTTCGACACCATCTATTTGTTTATAAATTTCACCATTGAATTTGAAATCTACGTTCATAGTACATTTTAGTAACAATTCTTTGATGATCTCCATAGGGATTGTAATTTATATTTTTTGTTCTCGAATTTTTCCTACAGTCTCTCTTAAGGGGACATTTGTGAATTTCTCTGATCTACATTCTCATTACTTCATCAATTGATTTGTTATCTTCACCTGGTGCTATTCACTTTACATTTGAGCATTATTCACTCATTAGTCCCAACGCACACGAGTAATACTTCGAAGACACTTATGATCATCTATGGTCACGTTTTAGATCTGTAACTTAATTTATCATGCAACAGCACAATATGCTCATATTTAATTATTTTATTTATTTAAACATAAAAACAATGGTACAAGGAGGCACCAAATAGATATGCGCCACATAAATCACTCGATTTATGTGAGAGCTAGAATACTGCCCGGACCGAAGTAGGTGGTTTTCTTAGAGGGGCCACACCCGGAGCCTTTGACCTAAAGGTTTGATCCACAAGGCAATGAAGCAACGTAAGGAGATGCAATCCCATGGTAGCCGGTGACCAACAATTGGTTCATACGCTACTTGTTCCTTCAGGATCATGATGCACACGTACACCATTTGTTTGGAGTCAAGGTTTTCCAACTCCCGTAGGTGTACGCTTCGTATCCACCAACTTGTTTAAAGCGCTGGATATTCGCTTTTCGTCCTATCAATTTCGTAAACAAGACCGCCGCCACAAGGAGGCAGTGAGTAGGACTTCCCTGTCAGTGTTTGTATACAATTGACCATGTGAGAGCATTTCAAGAGGGAGAGCTAACTCTCTCCACTCTTGGCCTTGTCATCGGCATTCCATCCTCATCATCATCATCATCAGTTAAACATTTAAAACACAGTGATCACATGAAATGATGATTGCAATTTCACTTGAACCAATAATAGTAACATATCAATTCATGTTCAGCAATACACAAATAATAATACTACCAATTGAATAGTAATTAATTATTAATTTATTATAGTACTACTTTCAAATAATCAAATGAAGTTATGTAGATATATGAAAGAAAAAAAATGAAAAAAAGAAGAGACAGTAAACAATTTAAGAATAGAAGAATAACTAAAAAAGAAGAATAGAAAAACAAAGAAAAACAGAAGAGGAACATATTCTGATTGGTTGTCATATAATCATGCTCATATATAGAAATGTGTATATGAAAGAGATGAAGGGAGAGTATTTACTTAATACAATCTAATTTAGTAAATATTATGATAAAAAGTATGTATTCATCAATGTCCGTTCTATGCTCTCTGTTAGGTGAATAAATAACCTTCTTTTTTTAAAAAAAAAGAAAAAAAAACAACAACCGGAAAAAAGAAAAATAACATTCAAAAGAAAATCAAACACAGATTATATCCACATCATTTTATTCATTATGTAACCGGATAGTAGTAACACTAGGTATCCATCGTTTAAGACAAACATACAAATAGTTACCAAACGGAACATTTTATCGCTATGTATGTGGCATAATTATATAAATAGTACTACTACTACTACTACTAGTAATAGTAATGAGTAGTATTCACAACCATTGAAAGAAACCACAACCATTTGAAATATGTTGAAGCAATACTACCAAAAACATACATGTGTATGCGTGTGTGTGTGTGTGTGCGCATTTTACATGCATTCATGAGTAACCTAGGGAACTAATGAATGAAATGGTCATAATTGAAAAGATGAATATGTCATGTAACAAACACAAAAACAACATAATTATGATATGATCATTTCAAGGGAAAAAAATGATAATGATAAGTGAAATGCATTGCGATCAACTTCACATAATTTCAATAAAATATAAATCGAAAATGGATAAAAATGGATGTTTATTTCAGCAATAATAATAATAATCATAATAATAATAATAATCATAATAGTAATAGTAATAATAACAAGACAAACAGTAGTAATATATTAAATTGTAAATATTGAAAAACAATGATACTCACAACCGTATATCAGTTAAATGGTATTCATATTAGAATCATATTTACGGTAGAATGTTATGTAAGAAACTATTAGAATTTTTTTTTCAATTCTCATTAAGGAACTGAAAGGTAACAACTTTATATTTAACTTTATAAATAATCAATAAATTAAAGAACCAATTTAGACATAAGTCTTTATAAATTATGGATGATTTGGTAACATGTAAGAGATATCTTCCCATGGATGACGATACAAGCCTTGATGTAAACGTTTCTGATCCAGATAATGACCTATGAAAATAAAGATGAAACAGTATTAATTATGAAGAAACTGTATAAAAATGAATTTTTACATTCAAAATTATTTCTAATTCTATGTGAACGCCAACTTTAGATTTGATTAGGATTGTTGAGAATTTGAGCAATACTGTTTAATCTACTCAAATATAAATAAGTAGTTAGTTCATCAGATAATAAAACGTAGAAAACAAGTAGGATAACGGTTAGCTTGGTTCTCGAGGCAAGAGACTGAATAATAAAGAGATGAAAATGGTTTGCAAACGAATTTATTGTCATGAACAGACGCAAAAATGAAAAAGGGACAGTGATAAACAAATAGCATGGCTCGGACTAATCAAATCCGAATTTCGACATAAAAAATTTAATGAATCTATTGAAGCTAGACCACCATGGAAAACCTGGAAGCACTGGACGGACGTTTCGTCCTAGTATGGGACTCCTCAGCAATGTGCACCCACAATCCCGCACCTCGCGAGATTCGAGCCCAGAACCTATCAGTCTCGCGCCAGGCGCTTAACCAACTAGACCACTGACCCGGCATCCAATGGTGTTAATGTCTAATTTCAACCAATCCACGAAGTTGCGCCACCGTACACCATTGTCTCCACACAATCCCTTCTGATAATAAAAAATATACATGCTAAGGATTTGGAAAGCGTAATATTTCCCTAAAACAACACACGTTAAACTGAATAAATCAAAACACTGACTGACAGTCACAAAACCAACAGTGAGAAAACAGCTAGTTTACAAATAAACAATAAACGACAGGAGGGGTAATAAATTTTAGTTGCTCATAAGTAGTACAATAATAAAATACAACTTTCACACAAAGACTGAATAGATTTTTCGAGGACAGTATAAAGACACGCTAAAAACAACTGAGATGGATTCCTAGATAATTTTTAATCAATCAGAAGACTGGTTTTGTTCGTGGATAGTTAATTTCCCACGTGCAGGATTGTGAATGTGCGCTGCTGAGGAGTCCCAAAGTAGGACGAAACAGTCGTCCAGTGATTTCAGGTTTTCAACAGTGGTTTAATATTGGTCAGTTCATGATCTCCATTGATAATATTGCGGATTGTAAGCAAATTTTAAACAATCAGTCGATTCGTATCTACTTTAGGTTACTCAGATCATAAATCCGAAAAACAACGATATATAAAGCCGTACATTTTGATATGAACTGTCCATATTCGCGAACCTTTAAAAGAATCCAAAAAAATTTTTAAGACTCTTCCACATTGTTGCTAGTTAAAGTTAGGTTTAAGGGGAATACTCAGTAGCCATACGGATGCATGAACTTCATTGAAAATTCTAAGAGGCATTATTGGATTAATTCGTCCATAGAATACAATCAAATTAATGTTTGTTTTAGAATTAATAGGGATTTAATGCATTTAATACTACTATTTCTACACAATGACTGAAAAGCATAATTTCTCAGGGTCATTTAAAAAATTCTCAGCAACATACAAACTTATATTTACTGTTCGTTATACGAGATATTCGAATTTCGCGTAAAAAGTCATATTCTCAATTCTGATTAACTCATCCCTTAAAATATATGAAATTAGTATCAGAAAAGGGTTTTGTGGATAATATAGTAATTATAATAGCTGACATCATGAATCGATTGAAGCTAGACCATTATGGAAAACCTGTAAGCAATGAACGGCCGTTACATTCTATTATGAGACTCCTCAGTAGTGTATATCCATGATTGTTTGAAAGATCTATTGATAAACAATTTAAATGGAAATCAAGAAACCACAATTTTGACAAAGAAGAATATGTTGATTGATCGATTAGACCGCAATTGGCAATGGATAATTTGAACTGACAAAACTATTGTCGTATAAGAAGGAGTATTTCAATGAATGCTATTTCATATATAATCATGCACAGAGACATCGATCTGCAGATGAGTGTGTGTGTGTGTGTTTATGTATGTGTCTACGAGCAGTAAGTAAAGAAGGAAGAACAAAGACTATCTCTGAGACCGCAAAACAAAAATTGACCTTAAATATTATAACTTAGCAGTGTAACTGATAAGTCAATTGATAAGCCATTAAATTCAGCTGTAAACATTAATTATCACCTTCATATTTAAATGAGTTGAATCAGTATAATAATAGAGGGATAACCAATCAGCTTTATTTGGAGTTTCAGTTTACTGAAATTAACATCAATGACCAACTGATCAATTCGAATCCTAATCACGTCCCGGTAATCACTTGAAATCTGTTTTGTAATATTTGGCATTATTTTAACAGAATCTATTATTATTATTATTAGCAAAGATGGTTGGTAACTAGCAGTGCAAACAAGGAAGCGCGTTTCGTCCTATTTGGCACACGTCAGCTGGATATACCTGCATCCCAGAGTTCATGTTCACTCGTGATTTCCACCGTTAGCTACCATCCATCTTTGCTTATAATGCTAATGACTGAAGGCAATATCGAAGCAATCCGCACAAGATGCACATATGCCAATATGAGACTTATCATTTGCAGTTCTAAACATCAATGAGAGGATTCAAACAAATAACACAAAGATCCATTATTATTATTGTTATTATTAACATTTAGTATTTAATGTAAACCAACAGTCTAATGTAATAGTCAAATAAGAATTTGGCGACTTCTCATTCAATATTTGGTTAGAAGTGTGGAATCTATTCTATTTGGAACATGTTAACTGTAAGTATTTGCTTACTAATATTGATGTTTACACCGAAATTCAAACTCAGCACACATACATAGTTTTAAATATCAAAACATTATCCAATGAACTAGAAATTTCAGATAGTCATTAACTTGTATGAAGGTATTCATATGGGTTTATGGGTCCCAGTTATTGATATTTAATACTGCGTTATGAATCAGTCTTGAGGTTGTTACATGTGCATCATGAGAAGATTACTTCTATATTAATGATGTAATGGGTAAATCGAAAGTCATCAAATTAGAAGGCCATGTTGTGACAAACAAAATCTCTTAATGACAATTACATGTGACCGACCGAGAAACGATTTCATTTACCAAGGAGTATATATATATGCATCAGTTTAGTCTAATGAACTTCCTTATTTACTCTTAGTCTTCATATTCAGTAGCTGGTTGGTGAATTATGCATAGGAAATTTGTGTATCAGTGTCAGTCTCGAACAAAGAGATGGAGCACAAACAATAAATCAACCAAATTTTAAGTATTCTTATTATGTCATTAGGGCACTGGAATCCAAGATAGGTATTTTGTTGATATTGAGTACAAGTCAGCTAGTTGAATTGAATGGGACGAAACACGTTACATGAATTCCATTGTCAGTCATACACATACAAGCCAAAATAACACACAAAAATTCAATACTTATTCAAAAAAAAAAAAAACAACAACAACCAAGATTACCAATAAACCCGATTGATCGACCCAAAACAAACAAGCCATTCAATGTTCCAATGGTAATATACTCTTCAGCTTCTTCGCTAATTAAAGTCAAATGAATAAGTAAAGTGAAACAAATTATGATTGTTTGAATAGATATAAATAAATTCAGTCCATTAAATGAAAAGAATTTGGATACACTGCTGTTTTTTTTTTGTTAGTTTAATCTGTCTACAAATTACGTAACCAATAAATAAGATCTGTAATAATTGAGAAAATTTAATTACTTTGTCTTTATTTATTTAAACACATAAACACTGGTATGAAGAGAGATACCAAAATAAATAAACGTCACATCAATCATTATATTTGTGTATGGGTTCGAGTAGTGTTCGGATGCTAAAACGGAAGAAGGTGGTTTTCCAAGAGAGTCGCTTGTGAAGCCATCGTCCTAAAGGTCTAATTTATAACGTAATGGAGCAACGTTAGAAGATGTGGATCTAAGGCAACCGATAACCAAAAATAGATTCACACATCAATTGTTCCTTTAGGATCCTTGATCCCGTGTAGATCATTGGTTTAGAATCATGGTTTTTCGATTCCCTTAGGTGGATTATCCATATCCACCGACCCGATCAAAGCGACAGATATTCGCTTTTAGTTCGCTCAATTTCGCAAACAACACAAATTAATGGTCACTGACATTTATTGAAACGAGATAAGAATTAATAGTACAAACGCTTCCCAATAGTTGAATATCTAGGTGTATACACTCTCTGTCTTTCCTTAAACTAAGAGATTAAAATCGCATCATATCTTTCTATCTATGAACTAATTCTTTCTTCCTGTAATATGTCCTTATATGCAATCTTTCTTTTATATATTACCACCACTGAATTAACTACTTCTATGAATCCGGTGTTCATCTTGTTGCTCTAATGAAGTGTGGCATCTTGGACCGATGCATATATGTGCCTAGTCCTACGTTGTAGCTGACTGACTGACTGATGAAAGACGCTTCAATTTGTAGAGAAAACAGGAATCTTTTTAGTGATATATCCTTGTACTTGAAATTCGAGGGACTTTTAGAAAACACGAAAATTGATTTTTTTTTTTTTTAAATCAATAACTGTCTAATCAGGATCATAAAACATGATCCATTATCCGTTTGGAATTCCTTTGAGAGCTTTAAAATAACACCAACTGGTAGAAATTGTTATATCCTAGTGAAGATTAAATTACGAGTATCTTCCGAGAACTATTAAGGAACTAATATTTTATAGATATATTGTTATTGTATAATTATTTAGTAACAAGATAGTGTATATCTATATTCCTGTTATTATAAGCTTCATTTTAACCTGTAGATAACTATTATTATACGATTTAATGTTCTTAAGTTATGTTCATTTTATTAATTACAGTCTCTCACGTCCACAGTCACTTTTTGGCGTGATCTTGTCGTTTCCTATTTTATGGGTGATGCGGTCTGTTTGACTGGTATATAAATCAAGTATCTTTAAAATAAGCGATTCGCATAGTAGAAGCTGTTATTGGCGTTCTGGACTCAACTGAACGGGCCAAGTGAACAAAGGACCAATAAAAGACGTTAGGCTGGTCATACAGGTCGAACATCATTGGTTTTGGCATAGTACTAAGATTGAATAAGTCGTATTTCGATTGACGAATAAATTACGTGATAACTAGCCGGCCTTAAAGACACAACAGAAATACTGTCAATATTTTCCTGTCTTCTCCAAATATTTCAGAAAAATTAACAACAGCTCACAACAATAAACCAATTTGTTGTGTTGTATCCCTATATAAGTCAATTGAAAGCAAAACAAAACAACTTTGGACGTGGGCAGAGTTGTTAACGTCAGTCAGCTACAAAGTAGGACTAGGTACATATATGCATCGGTCCAAGATGCCACACCTCATTAGAACAACAACATGAACACCAGATTCATAGAAGTAGTTAATTCAGTTGTGGTAATATATAAAAGAAAGATTGCATATAAGGATATAGTACAGGAAGAAAGAATTAGTTCATAGATAGAAAGATATGAAGCGATTTTAATCTCTTAGTTTAAGGAAAGACAGAGAGTGTATACACCTACACCATTGTGATCGATTGTGAGCCATGTCACCCAGAATCTCCAACCATTGTTTACGATAGTCACACGGACTCCAACCAAGTAGTCTGCATCTACCAAGATGGCTCAAACCAGAAGTTAGTGACTTTAAGCACAGATGGCACGTTTCCGTTTGGCCGCCCCTAACTTTCTTCCAATTATCACCAACACCGGTTAGCACTGAGCGTTGTGGTAATCGGTGTTCAGGCATACGCAACACGTGGCCTAACCATCTCAGTCGATGAAGATTCATAATCTTATCAACTGATTTACCATCATTCCCTAATAAAGAGTTGTTAACGATAGAATAATATAGATAGTATAAGGTAACTCTTCAGTAATGATCACAATCAGATCATATATATGAACAGTATTCTTCAAATATTCAACCTGATTATACATAATCAGGAAATAAATCATTAATTTAGTGTTATTTCAATCCAACCTAATCAAATATATTGATATGATTAGATTCATGAATAAATAATCAAAAAAAAACTTACCGCGTGAAATGACCGGAGCTTCTTAATAAATCTACCATTGCTACACCAATCATACCATCAACATTTAATATTAAATTTGGACGCTAAAATAAACAAACAAATAAAATAAACAATAAACCAATACAAACGAATAGAGTTATCCTACTTCAACAACAACAACAACAACAACAACAACAACAACAACAACGACAAACAAGAAGAAAGACTAAGAGTTCAACAAACAATTTAATTAATTTGAATTCTTTCTTACGTTGCTTTTTCTTTTTTTTTTAAATACCATAATTCTATTACTTTCACTCTTAACCTACTCAATTAATCTTTCTTTTCTTCTTAACTGAAAGATCACAACTGCTACTATTACTACTAACAATAGATAAATATAATGAATAGATTCAATTAACATGATTGTTAATAATAATGATTGGATGATTAAATATTGAGAAACTTTTTAACTGATTTCTAACAGGGAAATAGATAAAAAAACAATAATAGAAGACAAGAAGATTCACTTCGTGTTGTTTACTTGTGATCGTCTCATTGTTATGTTAAGACTACAATGGATCAGTCTCTTATTGGTATATGTGCATTTGTATGGAATGTCACGATATTGCTTTAAGTTTCAAGCTTTTATAAGTCAAACTGAATAGTGACTAGTAGTGGAATATAGGTTGACACAAGTTTTGTCCTATTTGGCACTCATCAGTAGTTGATTCTACCTATATCTCAAAGTTGATGTATCACTCTGACACTCGAACTCAGTACTGATCGCTTCAAACACAATCGTGTTATTCATCTGGTTGGAATAATTCTGCATTAAATGCAATTATTTATACAATATTTCAAAAACTATTACATATCAAATAATAATAATAAGGAAGAGGAGGAATGAAGGTGAATTCTAATAGATTACTGTAAGTATTTTCCATGAATGTATATACATAAAGTGAAAAAAATCAATAAATTGATATAAGTTACAAGTGAAGTATATTTTGTATTGAAATTTGAAGGGGGTGTTGTGTGGGGGTGGAAGTGGAAATAAAAAATGTCATGTTGTTAAGTGTTATAAGCAAAGTTGGATAGTAACTAGTAGTGGAATCTAGTTTGACGCACGTTTCGTCCTATTTCAGACTCGTCTGTAGTTGAATGTACCTGAATCTCAGAGTTGGTGTATGTTATATCTAGAAGACTGAGACTTGAAACCAGTACCATTCACTTTAAACACCATCGCGTTATTCACTTAGCTACTGAGTCCTGATAGCCACTAACTTGTGAAATGGGGTGAAGCTTTAAATTTACTTGGTGTTATTTACTTGTATAGAAGAAGTGGTATTTTTTTTAAAGTTATTACTTCGTTGACGATGATATCTATAATAATATCATTTGTCATATCCTGATGAGTAGAAAAATTATAGTTCTAATTTTTCGCGACTTAAAGTAAGCCACTTCTTCTTCAGAGTATATAAATAACTGAAATTAAATAAACACTAGTTTAAATACTACAAAGGAGACTAAACAGTGTATTTTTAATACAATCAAAATCATACCAGGTCTGAATATGTCAAGGTGAATTTGTATAACCTGTCATTGTATATTAATTTGTGTGTTAGAATTTGAGTATGAAAAATGTATACATTTGTAATATGAAGTAGTGAAGTAAGTGTTTATAGATTGTCTGGAAAATAAATAAGGTCAAAATGTGATTGTTTGGATTAACCATTCAGGTTAGATGAATATTCAGGTTTTCTTTCCTGTAAGAGGGCAGAGGGATTTAGCATTATATGAAACGCTTTGGCTATTTGCCTCTCTTGGTAGTTGGAAAAACTTCTCTGAATTATTTTGATATTTTTAAATATCAATTTGGTAACTATTGAAAATAGTATGCATTGATATTGTTGATTTAACCGGTAAATTTTCCAATTCTACTAGATTATTATGAAGTCTTCTTGTATAGCTTATGTTTTCTTTGACAGGAGTCAATCAATCGTTTCTATTACAAATCCTGACTTTGGCGTTGTTCGGAGTGCAAGATTTTCTTCAATTGTAGAATACTTCCTTTGCTTCACAAATTCGTACATTCACATCTGTATCAGATTCTCTTTGTATATCAATGATGCTGTCGAGTTACATAAAAGTTTTTACCACTTCTACAGCTTATATAACAATTTGGAAACTAATAAAAAAACCAGGATAATAATTCCTCGTATTACTACTATTTAGTTATATGAGAATATACACACTATTCGGTGAACATGAGGTTGAACACAGGACTTTAAGATTTCGCAACAAGTGTATGTTACTGTTGAACCACTGTGAATCAAAACCTGTTAACGTGAAATTTCTAACTACACTCAATGCGATTATATGAAGCAAAATAAGACTCATACAAACATTTAAATCAATAGGACGTAATAATAGTGATAATAAATACCTTATTAGTAGTAACTTTCTCAACTTCAAGTGCATAGTCAACGACTGGAGTTGCTAGAAAATGTTCATGTACATAATTCGACAGTAACTGAACACGTTTATCTGGATTAGTTATAGATTTAATCCGATGTCCAATACCCATGATAAGACGTGATGCTTGACGTTCTTGATTAACAAACTGAATAGGTGTTAAACCGGAATCATAAGCTTGTGAAAACTGACGTGCTGCAGCATCCAATGCACCACCAAATCTATCACCCTAACCAGAAAAAAAATCGTTCACGTAAGAAATAAGTAGATATCGGTAAATATAGGGTTGTGGAGATTAATGAATTTTATTGAGATCAAGAACCGATTTAAGTCAGATAACCATTGAAACTGTAGAAGCACTGGACAACCATTTTGTCCTAGTACGGGACTACCCAGAAGTGCGTGCCCAAGAACATACAACCCGGAATCAAGGCTGGGAACTTCATATGCGTGGACCAACCCTTAACCTCTAGACCACTGAGTCGATATCCAGTGTTGTACATATCTAGCTTCAACCAATCCACGATATTGAGCGACCGTCTTCCACCTTCTTTGATAGGTAACTTTTTAATAAGCAACTGTGGGGTTGTGGAAGCGCGTCGTTGAGGAGTCCGATACAAGGACGAAACGGCCGCCAAATGCTCAAGTTGCTGCTTTTAGTCTTTCCGTTCCTCAACCACCCTGGCTGACATAGTAGAGCATAAAGGAACATATGTTTCAGTCAGTATAGGTAAGCCCGATAACCAAGTCAAAGTAACAGCTACGGCTATTTGTAAATGAGCTAACGACGTATCTGAGAAGGGATTAGAATACGTTGGAATTCGATTATTTTAACCAGTAGGATACTGCAGAACAGCTCTCCTCACTACTTTAATAAAATTAAAACGACAAATAGCGATAAAAAGACCAAGTACTCATACGATTCTAATGTTAGTTTTTGTCCTTTGAAGTCCCTTATTTTGTTTTATAAGTCGTCTACCTTAACATCCATGATATTTTTAGACGAATTGTTTTAGCGAATTAATAAATATTCATTGCATTAGCACTTCGTGTTCTTCCTTTGTACTGTGAGAATTACAGCATTTTCTGATTGTTAAGTATAAGCAGTAGGATCGCGAACACAACATAGGTGACACGCATATAATACAAACAAGTAAATTCATTAAAGTTATATTTTGTTTTATGTAGTATTGTGTTCTCAGAGCTAGATAGTTTACTTGCAAAGCTTTTCCTATCAATCTGGAAAACAACTTCGACGCTTACTTCATTGTTCATTGCACAATTTTATAATTTTAAATCTTATCATTTACTGACTGAAATTCATATTACATCACACTTTGTTAATTATTTCGTGAATAGTTGGTGCCTGTTACCCCTTGTGGAGAACAGGCCGCCGAAAACATACTTATTAATCTTATGTTATTAATAATCACTGCATAAGGTCAACCTGATATGTCTCACCTGCCCATCTAAATAATATGAAATAAAACCTACTCATTTGACTCTTGTCATCATGAACGTCAACAATCAACAGAATAAAAGTTCATTACGTAAAGGGCATTCGATGGAGAATGCCGAGTATGACTTTTTAATGTTGAAATCAAAGCATGTAGGGAAACCGACAGACACAAACATTCCTTTTAACAGATTATATCTTACCCGTTCGAAATAGACGTGCGAGGTAGCATGACTAGGTTAATAACAATAATGAATTCGAAAAATCACAGTATTTATTGGAAGTAGACTTTTCGTCATACATTTAGGGAAGTACGTTTTTGATTGTTCGTAAGGCAAAAGGACAGAGGGCAAATCGAGCATATTTCACATCATTCAAAATGTTATTCCTCTTTTAGTTATCACCTTCATTAATACATCCCTCTGTCATGGTCGCCCTTATTAGTGTGCGCCCATTTTTATTCTGCCTTATCAGTGTGGACCTCAAAGCTTGATTCTAAAGTAATACATTTTATCCTGTTCACTAATTCCCGTCGTCAGTGGTTAGGCTTGGAAAGTACCAAGGCAAAGCATCAGAAACCACTCAGAAAGAGGACATGTGTGACCAGTCTCAGATAGTTGCACCTTTGAGTCTATGATCACACCTCAAGGTCACTAAGACTAGTTCACATTTCAGGTCCTTCAAAAAGAATTATCTGTCCATAGGAAGGGCAACCGGGAATTAGCAATCCCCTCATACATCTAACAGCACTCGAGACTGACTTCCAGTCTGTATCACAGTAAACCATTCAGCTTAACGAATCCAATATCTATAAAACCTTTTACCTAGACTACAAAATTTCTACTTTTGTCATTTCAAAATCAAGACATTTCTAGGCACAGATGGATAATGGCTAGCAGTAGAAACCACGACGTGAGTTTCGTCCTATTTGGGACTCGTCTGTAGATGAGTGAATCTGCATCCCTGAGTTGATGTTCACTCTGTGACTCAAACTCAGTACCATTCGCTTCAAACGCCATCGCGTTATCTACTTAGCTACTGAGTTCAGATAACCAATAGCTTGTACAACGGAGTGATGTTTTAATTCATCTTTGTGTTGTTGTTTGTTTAAATCTTTACACTGATTTTTCCTTATGAAAATATATTATTTAACAACTATTCAATACTCCATCAAAATACTTATTATTGTATCTATGGGCAAGAAAAAAATCTCACTAAAGACATATGCATGATCACAATATTCAAAGTTTTATTTTCCAAACGGAAAAACTATCAAACAAATAAAGACAACAGATGACCAGTAACACATACCTCCATATATATAAACAAACTAATAATATACTAGAATAAACAAAATAGAAAATATTCAAACTTACAATTGTTAAAAGTCCAGATACAAGACTAGAGATGAGATCTTTACCAGCACGTGTTGCCACTATTGTATTATGTGCACCGGATACAGCTGGACCATGATCCGCTGTTATGATAAGACATAATTCTAAAAATTTCGTTGCATATTCAGGCAATCTAATGATTTAATAGGTAGATATTAAATGTAAAGAGAGACAGATAGACAGATAGGAATATAATTTTCATTTTAAATGAAGATAGAAAATAAACACTTAAGAGATGATTTAAAAGAAAGTAGCATATATATATTGCAGGATTATTAGGTATAGATTGAAGTAGTGAGCTCCAAAAATCAAATTGAAGGTTCGAGTTTGAAATAGAATACAGAAATCTATCATTCAGTCATAAGCAATGTAGAACCTAGTGTATTGATTCAAATTGTCACAACATATCAGCACAGTTAGATAGAAATATCCAGACAAATCCCAGAGTAGTATAGTCGAAGTAGTAACAGTATTAGTGGTAGAAGAAAATATGATAAAAGAAAAAAGAATAAATTCGAGGAATGAAAACTATGTGTATTTTAAGACGATGAGTGAATACGCTTGAGATATCGCTACCGATTCTGGGTCATATCACAACACAACTTCGCCGACAACTTGTTACGATTATCGTGTGAAACCCTAACTAAGGTCATGAGTTCGACCACTGATGTGAGATAATGAGCGCACACTACTAATAAGAGGGGGGGATCAACATCACAAGTGTGACAATTGTCTAGTGCTCTCGGGTGATTTATTTAAAGCCAGTTTGTGATGTAAAAAGCCTTCAAATGAAATAACTCGCACAAATCTTTCATTCTATAAATATCGACATCAACACATAAGAAATCAGTACTGAGGTAAGGGAGAAGTTATGAGGACTATTACATCGAAACATAAATCTTCTAGCCACAGATTGACTATTAGCTGGAGATTTATCAAAAAAAATCAGATGACATTGAATAGCTATATACCCATGAACCCATCATGTAAGTTCGAATCCATAGTTACATATTAGAAAATCATTCAAAAAGTTATCGATCGATATTACCTTCTTTTGAACCATAATAAGCCAAGAACACCACCTATGCCTAAATCTTGTTCAATCACTTGACTAATTGGCATTCCAGCATACAATAACTCTTCACCTCGATCATCACATATTGTTGATGTAAACGAAACTGGTCGACGAATTAGACCTAATTCCTTTAAAAAATAATAATAATGAAACGAATATGATAACAATTCAATATTAACAGAGAAACATTCAACTCAAATTGAGTGCTTTCAAAGTTAAGAATCTTAAAACGTATTGACGAAAAAGTCTTGGCTACTATGATTTACTATAATTTAAGAATAAGATTGACGATTAGTATAATCTTTTAAATAAAACAATAAGAATTTGCAATAAAGGTTCAGTTGAACATAGGGTACTAGGCAAAGATGACATATCGGTTGATGAGATTGTGATTATTCATTGATGGAAGTGGTAGTGGTAGATAGATTAGGTATAAAATATGCTCAATTAAGTTACCTATACTCGAAGTAGGTTGAAAGAAAACTAGAGACAGTTACATTAAAACAATGAAGTCATTAACAATTGGTTTGAATCATGTTGGTAAGTTGAAATTACCAGGTTAAGACGAGGTATGATATTTGCGATCAGTGGTTAGATAGATAGATCTATTTAAATGGCATTAAATTAGTCGTGATGGGATAGACGTAATTATTTTTTGTCTAGAATGTAGGTTTCTAGTTTTCATATTATTTTACACTATTCGCTACGTGAATTTATCTCCATTTACTCGAACCAAATACCCTATTTCCAATCCCTGATAGTATTACTTTTAATATCAGGGCATCTCATCTTGGTAATTTCATCTTACTGTACTGATGTGGCGACTTAGGTCGATGCATATTTTTATCAAGTTCAACGATCGCCATGACTGAATGGATGACCTAGTAGAATAATGAAGTTATGTTATTAAAAGTACAGGAGCGTTCGGGACAGGACGAATATTGGGAAAATTGGAAGTGTTAAAATTATTTTCCTGATTATTATTATTATCTGTATTTCTATCGTATAAATAGTAAATAACTCTATTTTCGTATCTCTATATTCCTCTTATTATAAGCCTTCAGTGGACTTGTTAACTGTACCAATACCTTTTACTGCTCCTTAATTATTGCTAATTAATTGTGTACTAATTGCTCTGCCCTCTACCGTTTGCGGCTGGATTATTTTCAGGATGTGATTTCTTATTTGATGTGTTGTGCATTTAGGCATTTCCAATATGATATACGCGTTTTGAGTTATATTTAACTTGAGTACGTTACAGAACTAATCCGCTACCTGTCTACATCTTCTAATTGGCTACCGGATAAGAAAGAGTTCAAGGGGTAATATTTATTATTTATATATGTTAACACATAGGTATTGCTACAAGGAGGCACCAAATACATATGCGTCACACAGATATCAATTGATATATGTGAGGGCTGTGATACTGCCCAGGTGCCCAAACCGAAGCAGGTGGTTTTCTTAGGGGCCCACACGCCGAGCCTTCCACCTGAAGATCTGATCCACAAGGCAGTGGAGCATCGTAAAGAGATGCAGTCCCATGGTAGCCGGTGACCAACGATTGGTTCATACGCCATTTGTTCCTTCAGGATACTGGAGCCAACCCATGTGCACCATTGGTTTGGGATCCGGTTAAAGCGCCGGACATTCGCTTTTCGTCCTCTCATTTTCGTAAACAACGTCCCCGCCACGAGAAGGCAGTGAGTAGGACTTCCCTGGTAGAGGTTATATACGCGTTGGCATGTGAGAGCATTTCGAGGGGGAGAGCGGACTCTCCTCACTCTCGGCCGTACCAGGGCATTTGGGGGTGTTAAGGTCTCGGCTGTTGTTCATTGATTAGTCATCCTGCATATATAGGTGAATGTTACAAGCCATAAATAATTGGCGATCAGAATAACACGACATAACATAATGTCGACATATTTTTTGTACTACATTTGAATACTAAATGTTCGCAAAAATTTTTGCAATAATTTTTAAATCTAGCGGTAGCCTTAAGAAACCTGGACATGGCGTGATTCGGATCATAGTATCGAAATTTCCTTTTAAACACCCCCAACTTCCATCGTTTTTGGTGCCAGTTTCTGGAACACTATTGATACTTAAAACAATTAGTCCCTTTGATAAATTTCGATAATGCAATGAGAAGTCGATGTTTATCAGAATTATGTCATATATTTGCGCAATATATTTCAAACAATTCTCATATAAAAATGTCTTAACAAGTATATGTGTGATCAGATTGTTCAAAATATATTGCGCAACTATTGATACTATTAAAAGATATACTTCTTTCAAATAAAAAACACACGTACATATCCATGTTCGCTATAAGGTGGTACACAATTTGTGCGAACTCTATGGCTAATACCTGAGGACTAAATGCAAGACTAAGTACGTCATGAGACGTGTGTGGGAGTAGATTGGCGCTGCAAATTTGATATAGTGATGAGAAGGTCATTATATGTCAATCAGAAGTGATCTAAAAGGACAAGTGCATCTCATTGGCTGAGAAATAGGTATATATATATATATATATATATATATATATATATATATATATATATATATATAATAGGCAGGTTGACAAGTACTCAGGCGAGGTTGATCTTCCCAATCAATGATTTCACTGTTAGCCAATCTAGAAACAGCCTCTTCTTTTTACTAATTAATTGGATAAAAACTTGAGAACACGATTTATGTGAAGAGAATAAAAGAAGATAGATCAACAGAAGACATGAAACAAAACCTCAGAGAAAGAGACACACAACATATATGTATATGCAATCATAAGATCAAATGATAGTCCAATAATATGTAGAGAGAAAAAGAAAGTTAAAGAAAACACGAATCATAATCATTGAATGATCATAACCGTTATCATTATCATCTGTTTCTCAATCGACCCAAATAAGAAATGAAAAATAGAGTGATTTGAATACAGGATACTACTGTTCCAATTACTTTCACAAGCAAGCATCAAATGTAAACAAACTTCTATACCTTATTGATTTATTAGTATTACAAAAGAGATATAGGGATGAAGCAGATATACATATACATATTCCTATGATCAAGGACAAATGTAAACACATACATGCACACACATATGCATAGAAACAAAAAAAACGAAATAATACCTTAAATACGTAAACATAATGTTTAATATGAATAAATTAATATATTTTTAATATCCCAATGAGTAGAAAAATCATATTTTCTGACTTTTCGCGACTCACTGTGAGCCACTTCTTCAGAGAAGTTTACGAGTTATAGGATAAATAATATGAGGCGATAAGTTCATGCTTGATATGGCATGCGGGGGACGTAGATTGTTAAAGAATGTTGTAACAAACTGGAACGAAGCAACCCAATGTATATCATGGTTTTTCTTCAAGTTCTTCAGTTGAATGATAGTTTATGATAAAAACAGTTATTAACATAACTTATAGTGGATAAACAATAGTTCTGAATGTAACGAAAACTGAGTGTGTAGTTATTATCAACTGCTAAATTTTAAGTACATATATAATGGGCGGTTAAATTATAAAGATTGTTGTGTTTAACCACACACTAACTATTTAATGGAAACAGCAAAGAGTATTGAACAATTGTTTGATATTATTCGTCATCAGTACTCATATATCCACGAATTTAAACGGATTGAAATCCGAAAACCTTCAAATTTACAATCATGTGTCAAAGAATAGTTGTTTTAAAGAAATATATCAAATCATTTTTGAATTGGTTGATTGGATCTTCCCATTAATGTTTAGGATTGCAAATGATCAGTGTCTTATTGGCATACGTGCATCCTGTGAGGATTGCCTCGATGTTGCCTTCAGTCACAATAATTATGAGCAGAGATGATAGTGGCTAGCAGTGGAATCTAGGACGTACGTTTTGTCCGATTCGGGAATCATCAACTGGACGTCACTGTATCCCCTTTAAACAAGCTAGTAACTATCTGGACTCAGTAGCTAAGTAGATAACGCGATGGCGTTTGAAGCGAATGGTACTGTGTTTGAGTTACAGAGTGAACATCAACTCAGGGATGCAGATACACTCATCTACAGATGCGTCCCAAATAGGACGAAACGCACGTCCTGGTTTCCACTATTAACCACAATGCATCTCTGATTATAAATATATCGATTGGTATAACATTTCAGTGTTACTGACTAACTAAATGTTAACCCATCAACAATATTTACTACATTGAAAAAGAAAAAATGATTCTGACAAGCAGAAAATTTCTCAAAATGTCAAAACTCAAATATGTAAATTGAATTACCTTGGCCCATGCATAATCCATTGGAACAGTACGAGGTGGATGATCAGTTTTCGGGATTAACTGACCACTTCTTACAAGTTCATCAAAAACACGTCTACAATTAATAAATTTAACATGAAACTCATCTTTACTACTATACAAACTTAGAAGCGTGAAACAAAAGTCAAATATATGCACATATATATACTTAGTGAAGTAATAATATTTTAAATTACAAGTTAATGAGCTGATTATACAAATAGAAGGAAAAACAATACAATCTGCGTATTGCTGAGGAGTCACGCAGTAGGACGAAACGGCCATCCAGTGCTTACAGGTTTTCCATAATGATCTAGCTTCAATTGACTCATGAATAATTACAAATTAAATTACCATATCCAAAAACCCCTTCTGATTACATAAATATGTTCATTCCAAGAGTAAGTCACATCAATATTATTATATCAGTATAGAGTTGTTGAGACTGTTATGTTTTTTATTGAGATCATGGACCGATTGATGTTAGACCACCATTGAAAACCTGGAAGCACTGGATGGTCGTTTCGTGCTATTATGGAACTCCTCAGCAGTGCGCAACCATGATCCCCACGCGGGATTCGAACCCAGGGCCTCCAGTGCTTCCAGGTTTTCAACGGTGGTCTAACATCAATCTGTTCATGATCTCAGTAAAAAATTATTATGATTGAGAAAGAATGTACTTAATGTACAATACAACACATATGACGATCATAGTATGAGGTAACAGACTAAAAATCTCCAGATAATACTGTGTTATTATAAAATCACATTTACAGAAATTGTAAAATGATAGTGTTATCTTCAGAGTAGATATGTAAATCAAAATATTTGATATATATCTTTGCAAAGTTGATAATGGAACTTTTAGTAACCGTTACCGTAGTTTGATAAATAGTTGGTGTGTGTGTGTGTCATTTTTGTAATCTTGATAATTTCCTGGAATACGTGATCATGTTTCAGACAAACAATCAACCAATACAGATTAACAGTCCTCTCTCCCTCTTCAAATCGTTTAATATGGCTAAGTGTATATAGCGACTCCTAGGGAAGTCCTAGTCACTGTATTCTTGTGGCAAGGATGTTGTTTACGAAATTGGAAGGACGGGAAGCGAATGTCCGACGCCTAAACCAGGTTGGTAGGTACAAATTAAGGGAATTAGAAAACCCTGATTCAAAACTAATGGTCTACATTGCATATGAAACCATTCTTGGTCACTAGCTATCATGGGACCGAATTTTCTGAAGTCGCTGAACTATCTTGTGGATTAGATCTCTAAGTCAAAGGATAGGGGAAGGGCTCCCTAAATAAAAACACCTGCTTCGGTTTGAACAGCCAGACAATATTCTAGCCCGCACATAAGTTTAATTATAACCACTCTGTAGGGTGCATATATATTTTGATACCCCTTTGTAGCAAATGTTTATGTGCTTAAATAAATAAATGAATAATGTTTCCTGACACTTTCTGATTAACAAACAACACATATATACACATATAAATATATAAATCGTTTTTAATCACCGACTGATTTCAGTAGCATAATTATTGAAAACTAGAAATCACTGAAACAGCTGTTTCATCCTAGTACATGACCCCTCATAAGTGCATAGTCACAAGCTCACAAACTATCAAACTCAAGACCTTTAGATTTCATGGTTAAAAAGTTTTAACAACCAATCATATACAGATGCCCAGTGCCCCATGATTTTTAATGATCATATAACATACAAATCAAAAATTATTATTTTTTCTCTAATCAATTCAACTGTTGTCAAGCTCTTCTTATTTTCCTAATTCAAATGATCAATAATCACTGTGACCATATAAATCCTGTTTGAAGTTTGATAAGATTAACCGATACCACAGTATAGATTATATCATTTCAATAGATGTTATTATATTAAGCAACTATTCTGAATTTTTATTAGGATGATCATTGTTTGGTTTTAGTATAAAACTCAGTTATTTCGCTTTGATTTGACATGAAAACCTAAGTCCAATTAGACAACAATACAAAAAAATTGAAAGAAAAATCGAGAACAAATGGACAAGTATTTTGTACTAAATGTAAACTACCAAGTGTTGAAATATTAAATAATCCACGTTTAGAACAACATAGATGTAAGAGAATAATATTGTATTTCATTAGATCTTCATCAGACTTTACTCTAATATCAGAAGGGGGTTTTTTGTGGGTATTATTATAGTAATTTTAATAGTTGAGATCATGAGTCAATTGAAGTTAGTCCATCATGGAAAACCCGGAAACACTGGATGGCCGTCTCGTCCTATTGTGGAGCTCCTCGGTAGTGTGTACCCACGATCCTGCCTCGCGAGATCTCAGCTCAAGACATATCAGTCTCGCGCGCGAGCGCTTAACCACGAGACCATTGAGCTGGCCTCCATTTAACGGTGTTAATGTCTAACTTCAACTAATTCACGAAATCGAGCGACATATCTACCATTGTCATCAGTGAGTTATTATCTCACAACAGACCCGGTTGAACTTCACTGCTTATTGCTTCTCAATGGAACTCCAGAAAAAACCTCTTGAAACCAATTACTAGTGAGTATATGTTGAATAATATCACAAGGGGTTTCTTGTGGATATTATAGTAATTTTAATAGTTGAGATTGTGATTCAATTGAAGCTAGACCGCCATGGAAAACCTGGAGGCATTATAATAAATGTTGACAATAACTTTTATAAACTAAATGTATTCCCTATTTAACTAATATATTTACAGTGAACATATGCCCATATGAATGCCTCTAAGTTAGATTGCATCATAAGCTCAGATAAGCGGAATGAGAGATAGCAAGTAGACAACCATGTTGTCCAACAACAAGACATATATGACTGAAACAGATTGTAGGATTTGTTTGAAAGCAGTCAGAATATGTGTTTCTTATAGAAGAAGATTTGATGATTATTCTGTGATAATTTTTAATTTTAACGTTTAAAATTAGTGTTGTTATGGACGAAAACTTTAGTTTAATGCAAAATTACGGGATACTTTCGTAAAATATGAAAACCACATATTAAATACATCATTTGCACATCTTCCATCAGTTGTCATTCACATGCTTCATGATTCCTTCAATTCTGTTGTTATTCTAATTGAAAATTCCCATTGTGAAAATTAGAACAACACATATAAGCGAACAATTGTTTTCAATTAGATCATCATCAGGCTTTACTCTGATATACAGTAATATTTATACGAAAATGTTAAACCAATCAAGGCAATTTTGGGTCAGTAATTATAATGAAATGGGATAAGTCATCACACATAATAGATAAAAGTACAAGTTGATAGTAGGAAGACAGGTGTACTGATAGTAGGTAGGAATAATAAAATACGATAACAAAAGTCTTATCAATAGTTAAACATTGGAAATAGTAGGTCAAACATGGGTAAATGGAGTAGTTATCACAAAACATTAAAATCATTACGTAATAAGAAGTGTGTAAATAATTAGATAGTGAAGAATGCAAATGTAAAGAGGCGAATAATTCCAAACAAATAATGGATAAGTAAATAAGGTTAATGATAGAATATTAATAATAATAGTAATCATAAAGAAATAAAAAAAAAGAAATAAAAATTAATCGTTAGTTATCACTGGCCATGGAAGGGATAGGGGGGTTACAAATTTCTTCTGTACACATAGATTGGGGTTATATGTACGGATTCCTATGGCTTCAGCTATATGTAGGAGACGGGAACGAACTCCATTGGGAAATGATGGGGGTATACGATAGATGACTCGAAATGATTTCGATTTATCTACCGCATGACCACTATCAATAAGATGCGCCAGGATTGAACTGCGTACTGTTTTTATCTGGCCGTTTATGAACCAAGTTGGTAGATGTTCACTCATTCGTTGGTTAAGTTGCCTGGTAGTACAGAAGAAATTTGTAACCCCCCTATCCCTTCCATGGCCAGTGATAACTAACGATTAATTTTTATTTCTTTTTTTTTATTTCTTTATGATTACTATTATTATTAATATTCTATCATTAACCTTATTTACTTATCCATTATTTGTTTGGAATTATTCGCCTCTTTACATTTGCATTCTTCACTATCTAATTATTTACACACTTCTTATTACGTAATGATTTTAATGTTTTGTGATAACTACTCCATTTACCCATGTTTGACCTACTATTTCCAATGTTTAACTATTGATAAGACTTTTGTTATCGTATTTTATTATTCCTACCTACTATCAGTACACCTGTCTTCCTACTATCAACTTGTACTTTTATCTATTATGTGTGATGACTTATCCCATTTCATTATAATTACTGACCCAAAATTACCTTGATTGGTTTAACATTTTCGTATAAATATTACTGTATATTAGAGCAAAGCCTGATGATGATCTAATTGAAAACAATTGTTCGCTTATATGTGTTGTTCTAGTTATTCTAATTGATCCTTGTTTCTCTTTTTTTTTCTTTTCAATTGAATCTTCTCAATTTTCTACTGGCATTCATTCCACTTCCGATTGGTGCTACATACTACTTATATCTGTCAATATAAGCAGCATACAACACAGTGTTACAACGTTTGGTGTTTTGTTAAGTTTATTAAGCTAGAAATGTTTTAACTGTGAATTATTCATTGTTGATCTATGATATTAGTCAGGATGATATAATGAAAGCTCAACAATTCAACCATTTCTAGCTCTTGGAGAACTTGAATAGATTCAACATCATTCACCTATGAATTGTAAATCTTTTTCAACATTCCCAAATGTTACAACTTGTTATTTTGTTTGTTTGTTTCTTGTCTGTCCCAGAAATAATGAAATTATTAAATGGCCATAAATAGAAAATAGGTTGGTTAAAGATGACAAGAGAAACACACAAACAAACAAGGAATTCAATCTAACCTAATTAACAGATCTAATTCATCAAATGATTCTGGAACATGTATACCAACACTAGCCAATGCAGAATTTTTTGCTGTAGCTGTTTCTTGTAAAGAATTAGCACATGCACCAGCATGACCGAATTGAATTGAACCACCAGTAATATTATTACTGTCTGTATTATTATTCGAATTAGCTGCAGCGCTTAATAATTCACCGCATGATCCAATACACCAGGCTACAATTGTTTTTTTTATTTTGCCCAATTTAACCGCTTCAATTATTGCATACTCTTCTATACCACCAACCTATGGTAGAGAAAAAAAGAAGTACAAAGAACTATTGATGATATTAACAATAATAGTAATAGTAATCATGATGATAATAATGTCCAGTTTATAAGTCAATATTATCTCTGGTGCTGTTAGATAGTAGTTATCACTTCCCAGCTCTCCATATTATGGAAGCATATTCCTCCATGAGGGACCTGTGAGAAAGATTACAAAGAATATAGGATAAGAGATCGAGGTTAGTCACCCGCTAACTTTTCATGAAAAGTTTTGGATGTGTTAGCTTCGCACTTCAAAACTCTTTACTATAGGAAATGGAGCCCTCAAACGCCCTGGTAAGGCCGAGAGTGAGGAGAGTCCGCTCTCCCCCTCGAAATGCTCTCACATGCCAACGCGTATATAACCTCTACCAGGGAAGTCCTACTCACTGCCTTCTCGTGGCGGGGACGTTGTTTACGAAAATGAGAGGACGAAAAGCGAATGTCCGGCGCTTTAACCGGATCCCAAACCAATGGTGCACATGGGTTGGCTCCAGTATCCTGAAGGAACAAATGGCGTATGAACCAATCGTTGGTCACCGGCTACCATGGGACTGCATCTCTTTACGATGCTCCACTGCCTTGTGGATCAGATCTTCAGGTGGAAGGCTCGGTGTGTGGGCCCCTAAGAAAACCATCTGCTTCGGTTTGGGCACCTGGGCAGTATCACAGCTCTCACATGTATCAATTGATATCTGTGTGGCGCATATGTATTTGGTGCCTCCTTGTACCATTACCTATGTGTTAAAATAAAATAAATAGGAAATGGAAACCCATAGAGTAAGATTAGCTGTGACACTTTCGGGTCAACTGTTTCGAACCTCGTCCTTCATGCATATGCTGATTGTCCGGGGGAACAACTTACTGTTGTCATAATTTATTACAGTTAGCAGTACGACTAAAACCTCGGACCTTAAATTGCAACTTTTTACATTTCCCCAACCGACCTGGTAGGCATAGTAGGACCTAAAATAACGTGTTCCAGCCACCATAGCTCCGTTGAGTCATCATGATAGACAAGCCTGAATTTTCACCTTGTCAGTAATATATTAAACTTAATTTGCCTCAGTCTTTTTAGAATGTGTGCATCCTGAACGGATCACCTTTATATAGTGATTTTGACACAAGCTTTATGGAATGCATGAATTCAAGCTGGTAGTAGGCTGATCAAAATCCAACCGGCAATATGAACAAAGTGACACCTCAAGCATTTACAAATTGGATTCAAAATCTATACCGGTTGCACAAGATGTAATAGCTCAGTGAATAGCACATTCGGTATTAGGTTCAAGTACCAGAGTGAAAATCAACAGTGGGGTGTGGATACATTCAAATGATTAGTCCCAAACACACATATTGGATTTCAGTGCTAGCCATACACCACATTTTCTATCATAATAACGATAGTGATAACAATAATAATAATAATAATAATAATAGTAACAATGTGTTAACTTCTCAATAGTACTTGTTACGAATAGACTCCAGATGAGCCAAGTCATCCAACACAGCTCACGCCAATAGTCAATGACTCTATAAACTGATAGCATATGAAAGAAAGACTAATAATCACCTACTCAATTTTATTATCCTTATTAACACACCTACACAACAACTAAAATGAAACCGAATAAGCCTCAGTTAAAATAGCAGAACAAGCATACCTCGTTTCAAATGAATTTCTTTTGTTTTTAAAAGTTTGTATTTTCCTATTGTTAATGTTAAGGACTGCAACTGATAAGTCTCTAGTGACAAACGTGCATTCTGAGCGAATTCCATTTATATTACCATTTTTACAAATTTTTATCATAGTTAAATAAAGGCTAGCAATGGAATCCAGAACGTTTCGTTTGATCGATGCTTTGTCAACTGAATCAAAAAGCATCCCAGTGTTAACGTTCATACAGAAATGTTCAACGCTGGGATTTCGTTATATGCAGGTGGCAACACTAGGGTTCAAGTACACCCAGCTGACGAATCTTCAACAGGACGAAACTTCCTGGGTTCCACTATCAGTTACTATCCAACTTAAAGTTTTTATTTTTTCTAGAAAAGAATTTATGAAATGATCACTTTCATACTTTCTACTTACTTCACCCAAGACAACAATCATACCGACTTCTGGATTATTTTCATAACGTAGAATATGATCAATAAATGTTGAACCAGGAAAACGATCACCACCAATCGCGACACCTTCATAAACACCATCAGAATTCATTGAAATAATATTATTCAATTCATTGGACATTCCACCAGAACGTGATACATAAGCAACACTGAAAGAAAGCAAAGAAATAAATAAATGACTGAGAATGAGACTTATTGTATCGTCTATTTCAATATTTGAAAACATTCAACGAAAATATACAAACACTGTCAAGTCTAATCAATTTACCAACCACCAGCCTTTACCTATCATAATTATCTTTAAGAATCATCCATATAAATTCAAATGAGTATCGGCTTGAAAAGAATATAAAACAGAATACTGTGCGGTGTAACAGTTTTAGCAATTCTAATCAGAAATCTGTATATAAACGTAATATGTTTAATCTCACGTTCAAATGTAGATTAAACTCTCTCTACTTCACAAACAGTGGATCTTACTTCCGAATTGGTATTCTTTTGTCTGTATACCATTCTTTCTGTTTTCATCAAATGAACAACTATGTTGAATGGAAACAATTAAACAATTCAACTAAAACTCAACATGATACATTTAGTCAATCAGATATATGACTCAAAGGATAAGCGCACACTATTGACCAAGATCTGGATTGCTTTTCTAACAAATGAGACAAACGTAATTATTCGAAATCCTGGATTGATACATAAATATATGGACGAGTGAACAGGTATCTTTCGATTCAGTTTCCATCAATAAAGCTTCCTTCTCACTCAAGTAGCTACTTTGACTTGCATATTAAAAATTGTGTGTCAGCATCCGAATCGGACATCGTAGAACGTAACACTAAATTATAAGTAAGATGTGAAAAGTGAATAGGTTGAAGTTTTCAATCAACCACATGACACATAACAATTTAGATAAAATAAGGCAAGATAATCTTTTGACCGGAAGTATTCAGCTATCAAAACAAATATGAATGTCAACACTTACCTTCCAGGTCGATAAAGTTTTGATGCCAGTATATTGTCTGTCATTCCGCCTGTATTTCCGATTTTGAAGCAGCCAGATTTTAAGCCACCTACCTATAGACAATATGGAAAGAAATAAATACCAATCAAAAGGTTGAATAGGTGGTATATGTAGATAAAATCAACCAACTAATCAGTCAAGTAACAAACGAATAAAGTGAAAAACTGTTTTGGTAGCTAACAGCACGGATTGACCACAGTCAGATAAATAATGAAAACCAGGAAGTCCTGAACAACTGTTTCGTTGTCATATGAAACTCGTCAGAAGTCCACATACACCAAGAACCTAACCACACAGTAATTTGACTGATAGAAATCAACGAACATTAGGGACTATGTAAGCACTAAATAATTTACTAGTTAGTGATCAACTAATGTAAATATCCGAGCCTATGAGACGTCAGAATCTACATGGGTGACGCAGTAGTACCGTCTTAAACTGTGAATTTGTTTCGAAATCTACAGAGAATATCAACTCCTACAAGATCTCAAATATTCCTTCCTACAAGTGCCAACTAACATGATACCAAGATCGAGAATTTTCTACCGACTACCTTCAACCACTTAACATCAAAACATCGACCACATGATATCGAATTATTTATACTAGTCTCTAGATTGTAACTTTGGAAACATTGGCTAATATAACTCAAGCATCAGTCACAAAGATACAGATGTATTCACTTTTTATATTGACCGAAGTTTTGAGCTTCAACGTTATTTCATAGTTTTTCTAGACTTCTTCTTCAGTAATGATAAAAATTATGATATATTTGTCATACTCTAATGAATCAGTGTAAGCCACTTCTTTACAAATCAAATTAACACAAATTCAAAAAGTAAAAAACAACAAAGCAACAATATTCACTACAACCAGAAACCAGGTTTGATCAAGTTACAATCATGTCAACCCAGTCAATGTGATTTTTATGAGATATATTTGTGTATGTTAATGGGTGTCATTAATTTTTCACACTATCACTGATACTAAGTTTATTCCAAGCATTTTGCTTATCCGCCTTGTTAATTTCATCCAGTCATCCTAACGAAATACGTTACAACATGGGCTGACGAAAATCAGTGCCAGGATAAACATGACTGACTGACAGGTAAATCGATTGACAGAATTCAATTAGCACTAATGACTAAGTAAACATAACACTGCGTACTTACTCAACAATCAGTCAATATGATAAATAACTCTGGATAAAAGTTCCTAAAGTTAGCAAAAATTACATCTGTACTACATTCTGTATGAATGCAACTCTTACAGAAGATACATGGATTTACAACGCTTTTGTTTAACATAGCAACAACTTAATACAGGTAAATAAACAAACAAAGGTTTATGTACATAGCTTTATATCGTAATTTTTATGTACGATTTAGTGACATTATATATCTATGAAATGGGAATTAGACAAAACCGAGTTCGAACATGCAATCAATCGGTTTGACAAGTAAACAATTTATCTACCACATTTCACAACTCAGTAAACCAAGGAAAGATTCATGTGTTCAAACTTAAGTGATACGGCAATACATGTGAAAATTTGGCTATACTTGACACATGGTTGAACCTCACTAGATACGGATCTCACTAGAACTCTGAAAATGTTCTCTTGACGCTAGTCACTAGTGTGCACATAGTAATTAACAACATGGAGATGGTTGAATGTAATTGAGATCACGTTCCAACGTAAGTTGAACTCTAACTAACTGGTCTACAAGTTAATAATTCATGCACGAGACAGAAGGCCATGTGTTCGATCCCTAGTGGTAGGATCATGAATGCGAACTGTTAAGGAGCCGCATACTAGGATGAACCAGCTGCCTATTGCTTTCAGATTTTCAATGATTGTCTAACATAAGTTGGTTTGTAAACTCAATAACATTCAAAAACCTTCAAAACACTTATACTGATAATTTTGTTTTATTTTACAAATAATCTTGATGGTAACTTATTGAAAAGGATATTATTCATTCAATTTGTAAGTATGTATAAATAAAGCGTTCACATGTGTAGTGATGTAAATAGGTAGTTGCAATGAGTAGAATATATTAGTTATTAGACAGTTAAATGATAGATGATATGTTTAAACTCTTTAAAATCACTCCGTTTCCAAATATTGAAACTTCGATATGATAAAATAAAAATATGACATCCCTAGACGTTTTCCGAAGACCCATACCACTTTACAATACAAACTCATGATATCATCCAGATAACTACTAAAAAAAAACAGTTAGTAATTGAATATAGATGTTATCCTAGTTTAGGATTACTCATGAATGTGTGTGGCGAAGGTGCAACACTAGATCAAACCCATAAGTTTTGTGATAAACTGGACAATATTCAGTCGCCCAACCCATCTATATTTGCCCAATCCAACCACATTTTCATATAAGACCACTAATCTAACGTTGTAGTGCGAAGTCTCCTTTGTTAGATCAACAGGCTGAAGCCTTATACTGCTTCATCAGTTTAAATACACGACCCCACAATCATTGAATGGTCAATGATAACTTTAAAGTAAGGGAATATTGGACAAAAGATATAAAACAGTCAGTGGTTGATTAATGAGGTTATGAATTTTCATCGATTACATTAATTAAGACATATGTTACGCATGCCGAACGATCGCCTACTTCAATAAATGATGACTGATGTAGGAGTAGATTAGAAGAAAGCTAGGGGCACTTAAACCAAGAGATGACATTAGTCCATGAGAATGCTGACTGATGGACTGAGATATGTGGGCAGTGTATGCGATGACCGTTATCAGTGGTTGGAGATTTTGGGTGATATGACTAGGATTCGTTCACACTGGCGTAGATGCATTCACATTTAATCTTCCTCTAAATACTGAATTCCAGTATCCCTTCATGAATATATTTCCACTCTGTCTTTTCGAACTATACTCCAAATATTAGTTCATTCTCAGTAGCATTGCTTCGACATTTACAGACTTAATGAGAGAAACTGGAACAGATTGGTCAATTGTATTCCTAAACATCAAACAAGCATCATAAATGAATTACAATTCACATCATTGCACAAACCAGTGACTATCTGGACTCGGTAGCTAAATGAATAACGTAATAGTATTTGAAGCTAACGATACTGGTTTTAAGTCCCAAAGTGAACATCAACTTCAGGATGCGGATACATGAAAATGAAGACGAGTCCTAAATAGGATAAAACACGTATTCTGAGTCCCATTGCTACCTAACATCTATCTCTGCTTTTAAAGACCAAATAAAATATAAAGAGCAATACTCCCTCTAAGGTTTTTATAGATTTATACCTTTTCATCTCTTATCGGTTATTGATTCAAATTCACTTTCACTATGGTATTATTTCTGAATTGATTAATTGACATTCTGTATTGATAATTTAAGGCCAAGCAAATACGAGGTGTATTATGCATTGTGCTCTTATTTGCTTAGTGAAAAGTACACAATTATTAATCAAATACTACTTGATAAGAATGTATGTAGAATGTGAATATATATATATATATATATATATATATATATATATATATATATATATATATATATGACAGAGAGAGATATAACTGAATGTTCGTGGCTAGTCATAGAATAAGTGCTTATTAGGTGAATGGTGGCAATCTCAATGGAGCTGTGGATATATGTTTCTCGCTAGTTAATAATAAATGAGTTGTCTGAAATATTGGGAGGGACTGATGCCTTACTCTGAAGCTCAAACCCGCGCCAGACAGTATGCAAGTAAGAGACGTTAATACTGAGCTATTTTAGCATAGTTGATCAGTTTTAGCTAGAGCGAAAACTACGTTAAACAGAGCTTCTAACAGCCTAATACATAAATAAAATGCGAGACGATCTTGAGTACTGTTACACGTATGAGAGTGGATGTCAAGTTTCATTTACCTGCAGAGGCTACTCTACCACTTTATTCGATTACTAATCCTGAATGTGTTTTATATGATCATATGTATGTTAATTACTTTCCCTATTCATCATGCGCCTGTAACTTATTTTTGTCTGACTATAAGTATCAATTCACGCTTGGTTAAATGGAGTCAGCTCACTCGCCTTTTCCACTGCGCGTCATTTCGTTTTGCTTTCTTCACTCCGTCTGTCTGATTGTCTGGTAAGATCAAAGAGTGTACGAAATATACGTATTCAAACTTCGTCCATGTATTCGACTTACTCCGTTATTCACTAATGCGAGTTAAGTCGACTATATAAGAGGGTTGGCGGTATGTATGGCGCATATATATTTGGTGCCCCACTGTACCAATATTTATGTGTTCAAATAAATAAATAATAATAAATAGATAGCAATCATTATACGATCTAACTGAAGTCAGATATAGGGCCACTTAATACCCACACTGTGGAAATCCATTTCATGAGGTACCTGCAAAGGGAACTGCGTTAGGAGTGGTCCTGACGACCTAATAGTGTGATCACAGTGTCCAAAGGAAAACTGCCCGAGGTCGGTCACATACAGTCTTTTTATGAATAGTTTTTGATACTATATCTACTTATTTTTTCAAGTTTTACCACCGGTGACAGAAATCAATCGGGCAAAATTATTTGTGGTACTTTTAGGGGGGACCTCTTCAAAACAACTGCCTGTTAACCAACATTAAATTCAGAATTTTTAATACGAATGTCAAGACAGTTCTACTGTATGGGGCGGAAACTTGGTGAACTACGAAACGCATCATCCAGAACATACAAGTGTTTATTAATAGTTGTCTACTCAAAATACTTCGGATCCGTTGGCCAGATATTATTAACAACAACCTACTATGGGAGAGAACAAACCAGATTCCAATAGAGGAAGAAATCAGGAAGAAGCGCCGGAGGTGGATAAAACATAAATTGAGATAAGCACACAACTATGTCACAAGGCAAACCCTCATCACTTGGAACACTGTGGTGTTTGAATGAACTAATGACTCCTTGGTACTGGTTGAATGCCTGATTTCGAATTTGAAATACAGTACATTCGTTAGTGCTTGTTTCGTACTTCTTGATTCTATTGCGTTATTTCTGGGATTCTTAGTTCGTACTATAATTCAAATACTTCTAATTATCATAAACACTCAAGACCAAAGGAGAAGAGGAAGATCAAATAACACATTACACCGAGAAATGGAGACAGACATGAGAAGAATGAACAACAATTAGACAGAACTAGAAAGCAAAGCCCTTGACAGAGTGGGTTGAAGAATGCTGGTCGGTGGCCTATGCTCCATTGGGAGTAACAGGCGTAATTAATCACTCTAAGTTTTATGTGTTAAATTTTTACGAAATAAAATTGTCGACTAGAAAATGTTTCAAAATCAATCGTAGTATAATACTGGAGTTTAGTTTTGTGTAGTTTACTTTTTTTGGACGGTTAAATAATCTGTAATAAATTGTCCGATTACAGTAAGCTTAATGATTGAAAATTAATTATAATGATGATTGTGAAAAGATTCTGAATCGATAAACTGTCGAAGTCAACTGAAAGAATATAGACTTTATTCTGTGTTAACAATTATTATGATTAAGCATGATACTAAGAGTGTGAAACAGAGTAAATGATAATTTATAACTTAACCAACAAAAGTTTACTATTTTATTGACTCTTGATCTGGATTTAACGATTTTTTTATATACATTAACAATTGAGAAAATAATAGCTCTGAAATAATGAAAAAGCATTATTCTTTTTAGCTTAGGAGAGTTAATTATGTTGGAATTGAGTCCTATGTGTTGGACGATTCAGTTGTAAAACTAAACCATTGTTGTACTAGACAAAATTATCAAGCATAAGCTTCATACAAGCTCTGAAGTCAGACATAGAAATGACTGCAAGAATGCTTCACATTCTATTCAAAAAGATTTGGGAGAAAGAACAATTGCCGACAGACTGAAAATAAGGACACCTCATCAGGATACCAAAGAAAAGAGATCTGAGCAAATGTGATAACTACAGAGGCGTCACACTACTGTTAGAGCATTGCAGAACTGGATGAAAAACTCAGTAGACGTCCAGTTTCAAGATCAACAGGCCGGATTCCATAAGGACCGGTTTTGCACAGACTGAATCGCGACACTACGGATCATCGTTGAACAATTAATTGAATGGGACTTGTTACCATACATCAATTTCCTTCACTATGAAAAGGCGTTTGACAGTGTAAATAGGAGGACCTTATGGTAACTTCTTTGACACTATGGTGCACCTGAGAAAATCGTCAACATACGGAATTCATACAACGGACTACATTGCAAAGTGGTGCATGGAGCACAGCTGACAGACCTAAGTCAGACAAGGCTGCTTACTCCCCCTCTATCCCTTTCTTTTGGTGGTCGAATGGATTATGAAGACCACCACATCTGACGGGAAGCACAGAATACTATGGACAGCTTGGATCCAACTAAACGATTTGGACTTCGCAGATCACCTAGCCCTTCTATCCCATACACAACAACAAATGCAGGTCAAGACAGCCGGTGTAGCGGGAGCCTCTGCGTCAGTAGACCATCACATACACAAGTGAAAAACCTACATCCTCAAATACAACAAGAAGAACAGCAAACCAATCATACTCCATGGAGAAACTCTGGAAGTGGTGGAAACTTTCACCTACCTAGTCAGAATCAACGATGAACAAAGAAAATCTGATGCAGACGTAAAGGCAAGGACTGGCAAAGTAAAGGTAGCATATCCGTTGGCCGAATATCATCAGCAACAATATAGTGTGAGAGAGAACAGACCAGCTCTCAACTGAAGAGCAAATCAGGAAAACAAGTTAAAGATGGATAGGACACACATTGCAAAAGTCATCAAACTGCATCAAGAGACGAGCGCTAACTTGGAATCCTGAAGGAAAACGGAGAACAGGAGGATCGAAGAGCACATTGCATCGAGAATTGGAAGCAAACATCGGAAGGATGAATAGCAACTGGAAACAACGGGAAAGGATTGTTTAGGACAGAGTTGGATGGAGAATGCTGGTGGGTGGACTATTCTCCTCCACGAGGGGCATAAGCGTAAGTAAGCCTCAGACAGAAGTGCACTCTATGAGAATTTCTCCACAAATTATTAACAGATTGTTTTGTCATTACTGAATATAATTGATCATTGTCGATATATGCTTTATTATTGATGTGTAGTAGTGGAATTAAAACATGATTGGTTGAGTGTGGACAAACAGCCAAAGTCTACGGACTAGTAAATATGTGATTTCCCTTCCTGACATTGATTTCTACTCAGGACTCACTCAGTGTGACTGTACTGACTAAAGTATTATCTTGTCTTTACCCTGGTTCTCTGTTCTGGGTCGTGAGTCCTGGTCTGATAAAATACGTGACTAGTCTTAAAACCTTATTTTTTTATATGAGTGAAGGAAATATATTTTAAACCGTTATATCAGTTATTGTCTGCATATTTATTTTAATTATCTTTTCCTTTTGAACTGATCTTTGGCCACGGAGTTGTTTATTATTTTTCTAACTGGTTAACTAACTAGGAGTATTTCATTATGTTTATTGATTGCTGATTGATTTCCATTCCAGGCTATATAGTAATTGTCCGGTCTTCTCCGTGTTACCTCTGTCCAATATTCCAACGTTTTTCCTACTGAACATGTGTTAACAGCAACAACTAATCAAATCCAAGATGCAGAAATTTGATAGGTCACTTCTATCTGAAGTTTATGTTGATAATACCATTTAGAAAGACAATGTGAAAGCTTTACGGTTAGATTATTCATTGAAATCACGAACCGATCTAATTTAGAAAACCAGTAAAAATGTTAAATTAATAACTCTAAAGATTGCAATATCAGTCAGTCAGTCAGCTACAACGTAGGACCAGGCACATATATGCATCGGTCCAAGTTGCCATACCGCATTAGTACAGCAAGATGAACACCGGATTCATAGGATTAGTTAAGTCAATGTTCGATTTCCAACGATTTGAGCGCCCACAACACTGTCTACATCAGTCTATATACAGTTAGGGAATAATATTACCTATCTGATACACAAAATGTAACTCAAAAACTGAGTACATACATTGATACTTGACAGATACTTTGTATACTATGAATAGTAACTAATTACTTTTATTAACAATAGAAAAAAATAATCTATAAAATATATAAAAAATAAAGACTAGCCATATTATAGAGAATACAAAGTATTCAACGATAAAAAAGAACTCACAGTTGCTGGACCAATCAATAGAATATTTCTTTCTTTGGATCGTTGTATTAAACGACGTGTCATATTTTCTGGTATACCTTCAGCTATAATAGCGATACACTTGATCTGTGCCTCATTTACTGATAAACCATTATTATTAATATTGTTATGAATAGATGTATCATTGTGTTCATTCAATATTCCGTTTTCTTTATAATTAGATGAAACTATACAATCCACTTCCATAGCTTCCATGCATATATCATAAGCAACTCGTAATGATGCGAAATTCACTAATACACGTGCATCTGGATGCTTGTGCATTGCATTCAACATATACTTATAAACTGGTAGAAATAATTCTTTTGCACCCCAATAAAATTTCAATTGATGATCATCGCTATTGTGTTAAGAATAAAATGAGAAAGATGAAACATACGACTTAATCATTATAAGCAGAGATGGATGATGACTAACAGTGCAATTAAAGATACAAGTTTCATCCCACTCAGAACTTGTCTTCAACTGGATCCACCTGCAGTTCAGAGTTAATGTTCACTCTGGGACTCGAACCATCTATATTTGTTTAAAATGCTTGTGACTTAATGAGGATATCGAGGCGATCCACACAGGATGCATATATGCAAAAAAAGATTAATCAATTTCAGTCCTAAACATTTTATTTTATTTGAACAAATAAATACTGGTACAAAGGAGCGAGGACTATATATGCGCCATATAGACACTTGATTTGTGTGTGGGCTATGTCACTGTACGGGTGCCCAAAACGAAGCAGGTGATTTCCTTAAGGGGCCACATCCGGAGCCTTTGACCTAAAGGTCCAACCCACAAGGCAGTGAAGCAACGTCAGGAGATGTAGTCCCATGGTAGCCGGTGGCTAACAATTGGTTCATACGCCGTTTGTTCCTTCAGGATACTGGAGCCCATATTCACCATTGGTTTGGAATCATGGTTTTCCAACTCCACTAGGTGGACTCTCCGTGTTATACCAACCCGGTTAAAGCACCGGACATTCGCTTTTGTCCTCTCAATTTCGTAAACAACACCCGTGGTGCGAGAAGGTAGTGAGTAGGACTTCCCTGGCAGTGGTTGTATGCACGTGGCCATGTGAGAGCGTTTCGCGAGTTATCAGGACAAGTTATAGAAAACAGAAAAAGTATATTCGACCATGGTTTACAAATGGGTGAAACTACATATCACAAATCCCTACCATTTGATCTCATGTTTATTTCTGCCCTGCTCCATTCTTAATTTGTACATTTATCTTTCTCTATTCACATGAATTCATTATCATATAATTACCGTAATAATATCGCTCTTATTACATATTTTATTCATATAAATGGTATTGTTGCAGTAACTATTATCATCTTTCCTATTGTGTATATCAATCACATAATTTCAGTCAGTCAGTCAGCTGCAACGTAGGACCAGGCACGTATATGCATCGGTCCAAGTTGCCATACCGCATTAGCACAACAAGATGAACACCGGATTCATAGGAGTAGTTAATTCAGTGGTGGTAATATATAGAAGAAAGATTGTGTATAAGGAGATAGTAAAGGAAGAAAGAATTAGTTCCTAGACAGATATGAAGCGATTATAATCTCTTAATTTAAGGAAGACAGAGAGTGTATACACCGACGCCATTGTGATCGATTCTGAGCCATGTCACCAAGAGTCTCCAACCATTGTTTACGATAGTCACGCGGACCCCAACCAGGCAGTCTGAATCTCCCAACATGGCTCAGACCAGAAGTTAGTGACTTCAAGCACTGATGCCACGTTTTGGTTTGGCCGCCCCTAACTTTCTTCCAATTATCCCCTGCACTAGTCAGCATTGCGCGTCGTGGTAATCGGTGTTCAGGCATACGCAACACGTGGCCCAACCATCTCAGTCGATGAAGATTCATAACCTCATCAACTGATTTACCATCATTCCCTAATACCCTGCGTCTAACCTCACTATTACTTACCCGGTGATCCCAGCAGATACCCGCAATATTTCTAAGGCACCTGTGGTCAAATACTAGTAACTTACGAATATCTTCCACTCTTAAAGGCCATGTTTCGCAGCCGTATAGAAGGACGGAACGAACTGTCGCGCGGTATACTCGTCCCAATCACATAATTTACTTTGTCCTATTAATTCTCATGCAGACATTCACTATTTTAAACCTATAACATTGTCTAGTTCAATTCCACTTTTGTATACTGAGTATTGGACAGTGTAAGTCAATAATTATGGCAAAGTATAATATAGTGATAAGCTTAAAATAATACCGATGAATTTTTAGTCAGTTTGTAACTATACAGAAAACAGCTTATATAGATGGATAATTTGTGGAAAAGAAAACTATAATATTGAGAAATATAAACAAATTTTACATGATTAGTAAGTTTATTAATGTTTTCTGCAGGCTACTTTGTCTGTAAATCAAATAGACAATAACATACAAATTCATCCTTATGAATATAAGTTGCCCATTTTCTCAAACCTTTAAAAGGATCGAAACAGATTTTTATAAGTCTCCACATTATTCGTAGTTAAGATTAAGACTCAGGGTTTAAGGTAAGGTAAAAGTTTTCACCATGAAATGACATTAGTTATAATGTAAAAGTGCTCTGTAGTCATATATAGACGTGGATTTCGCCATACCCGATAAGCTCTCCTACAAAATGTAGTGTTATCAGGTATAGGTTTGTTTAGATAGAGTTAAAGGTTTAGAGTTAAGATTTAGAGAGTGTCTGTTTACCTGCTGTATAAAATCAAAAGAGATAGAATTAAGCATTTGATTCGTTTAATATTATCATTTTATTCTATGATTGAGGCTTACTTGAAAGGATAAATTAGAGCTGCTACACTTGGACTTTCACGACCGGAAGCATAATCGAAATCTAACATAGACTGAACAGCTTTCACTTGTAAACCCCATATTAAACACTTTGTTTTCACTGTGAAAAGTGGTTCTTCATAAATAGTTTCATGATTATTACCATCAGTAGTAGTAGTAGTAGAAGTAGTAGTAGTGATAGTAGAAGAGAATTCAGAAACCTTGCGAGTTTGATTGGTCACCGTTGGTGTTGATTTGTCTGAATTCTTGAAATGCGATTTACAAAAAAAAGAGGAATTCAAATTAACTGATTACAACAGTAAAATGAAAGTGTTCAAGCGGTACATAACTAGATTAGTTGAATAGGTATGATAATTGAATAAACCAGTGACTTAGTAGTACTTTTAACATGTTAAGTAGTGGGCAGGTTAAACAAATGTTGTACTAACTTCAAGTTGGATAGCACTCACCTACTGATACAATGAGCGTTTCATGTGGCAAATAAATAAGGATTGTAAATGAGTAAGGATGAGAACGCATCCAACAACAAAAAAAACTCAGTTTATTTGACTTAATTCATTCATTAAAATCATGAACCGATATAAATTAGGCAACCAGTGGAAACCTGGAAACACTGGACAGCAATTTCACCTAAGTATAGAACTTCTCAACAGTGAGCGTCCATTATCCCGCACGTGAGAATAAAGCCCAGCACCTTCAGTATCCGAGTTCGTGGATATACACTCCCACACTAGGATAAAACAGTTGTTCAAGTTTTCAATGGTTGTCTGACTAATATCGGTTGATGATTTCAATGAAAGTCAACGATCTTCACAGCCTATACTGATAGTTAATTTATTCAACTGAGTTGCACAGAGATAGGTTAGAATGTGTAATAATAAAATACAGTTCATTACAAACCCTCTATGTATGTGGCAGTCAGTCCTATACTCTGACCAAGGACACAACAGCAGTATATATATATATATATAAAACCTGTAATTGTTAAGTGAGTTGCATAAGGATGTAAACTATTCCTAGAACTCTCTAAATTCTCAAAAATCTAGTTGTTACTGAAGAACTATTACTGCTTAAGGACACATCATAAAACTGTTGGCGGCAAATTACCTGACAGTTGTAAAATCGACAAATAGAAGATAACACAGGTTGTTGTTTTGTATATGTTGATTGTCAATGGTTTGCTAACAATATCAATCTTAAATAAAAACTTATTTTAAACAATGACAAATACTTATATCAGTTGAGATCGCCGCGCCATTTCAGCACAGAGAGATGAAATCATTAACAGTAATGTGAGACCTTATGCATACACAATGTGATTCGATTACAATCAATAAATTTGAGGAATAAAATGTAGGGGATAATCTTAAAATTCATGGTTCAAAGAAAGATAAAAAGTGAATGCACCTCTGTATCGTTAAGATCGGTTTTGAGTCATGTCACTCAAAGTTTCCAACAGTTGGTTAGGATAGTCGTATGGACTATAACCAGATGGTTTGGACCAACCTACATGGTTCGATTTAACAGTCAATGATATTTTGGATTAATATCACATTTTCTTTGACCGTCTCTAAAGCTTTCTTCACACATACTCTTCTACATCAGTAAATACCGTGCATCAACGTAGTAGGTGATTCGTTATATATAATACAAATTCCAATTATTTCAGTTGATGAAGATTCACGACCTGATCAATCAATGTTCTATTTTTACTTAGTATCATGTATCTAACCACAATATTAATGACTTTATGATTTCAAAATACGTAAATAATTCTTCGAGGTCATCTATAATAAAACACTGGTAACTTACAAATATCCTCTACTTTTAAAGGTCACATTTCACAGACATAAAATGTAATAGAACGACCTAGTAACAAACAATTTAGCCTGGTGATTACATAAACGACACATATAGGCTGATGAAAGTAGTGATTACATTTAATATATGTACATATATAGTCATGGGTTGTACAATCCAATACGGAGGTCATTTATTTCATCCAGATTCACATTATTAACTGATAATTAATCTAACTACGTCATATTGCCTAAAATACAATCTGATTATTGAACTTTCTTAATAGGTAATATGACCCATTGAATACAATGGGTTAATAATACATTGAAATCATTCAATGATATTAATATGAAATGAAACTAATTTTTCACATAAATCAATATTACCGACATTTAAGTCTATTGAAATAAAATGAATTCATAGATTATATTATTGTTCATGTATTTGATAACTTTTGGATAATAATAAAAAAAATGTTTCTCTATGTTTATTCTTTATCATCATAATGACGATAGTATTGACTTTTTTTTTATTTTGTCAATTATATATTTCAATAGTTGAAATCATGAATCAATTGAAGCTAGACCACCATGGAAAACCTGGAAGCACTGGACGGCCGTTTCGTCCTAGTATGGGACTCCTCAGCAGTGCGCATCCACGATCCCGCACCCCGCGGGATTCGAACCCAGGACCTATCAGTCTCGCGCCAGGCGCTTAACACCGTTGGATGCCGGCTCAGTGGTCTAGTTGATTAAGCGCCTGGCGCGAGACTGATAGGTCCTGGGTTCGAATCCCGCGGGGTGCGGGATCGTGGATGCGCACTGCTGAGGAGTCCCATACTAGGACGAAACGGCCGTCCAGTGCTTCCAGGTTTTCCATGGTGGTCTAGCTTCAATTGATTCATGATTTCAACTATTGAAATTACCAATTCTCCACAAAACCCATTCTAGTAATTATATATTTCTATAATGAAGATGACCTAGCAGGTTGGATTGATGTAAATATTTGTGAGGGATTCCTAGGTTGACTGTGAGTCAATTCAGTTAGCAACAACGTAGAACTTCGTATGTACGTATATCAATTCGAGTTGCCATACCGCATTAGCACAGATACAATTGTCGATTCATATCCCATAGTGGTAGAGGTAGCAAAAGTAGTATAAGCAGTAATCGGGAAAATTAGAGTTCGAAGATGTTATTCAAGGAGGATAATACAGTGAAATAAATTCGGAAAGAGAAAAAAACGGAACATGAAGAATTCAGAACATTAGAATTTGGGAGAACACAAAGAATGGATGCACCTGAGCCATTGCAAACCATTTTGAGTCATTTCATTACACGTCTCTAACCATCGGTTGTTATCACCTCGCGGATCCCAACCAGGTAGTCTATACCTACCAACATGGCTCATTCCACTTGCCAGTGAATCCACAGATTTGTTCAATGTTTTGGTCTAACCGCCCCTAGCTTTCTTCCAACCTACTCCTACACCATGAAACTTCGCACGTCAGGGCATTCGGTGGTTGGACATACATAACACATGTCCCAGCCATCTCCATTGATGAAGTTTCACTACTTCATCAATTGACTTGCCATCCTTACCTGGTTATCTTTTCCTAACAGCTGTATTACTTACTCTGTGGTCTCAGGATACACGAGCAATGCTTCGAAGACACCTATGATCGAATACTAGTAACCTACGAATATCCTCTACTCTAACCGGCCGTGTTTCACACAGTGAAGTATGTGAGATATTTATTTGTTAACTAAAAGATAAATATAATTAGTAGTAGTTTGCTCTTTTCTACTTTATGGACGTGAAATGTGGTCTTTAAAAAATAGATATTCATAGGTTACTAGTATTCGACTATATGTGTGTTCGAACCACTACTCGTATATTTTAGGACCATTAAGTTATCAATTCTGAGGTTAGCTACACGGGTAAATGTGGTAAATCCCTTAACAAGATAATGAATTCTTATCGACTGAGTTGGTTACGACATGTGCATTCACTAACTACCTCAACGAATGATGGTGGCTGGTGTGCAAGTAGATTGGAAGAAAGCTAGGAGCCGTCAAACCAAGATCTAATGTCAGTCCATGAAAACAATAACTATTGAACTGAGATGTGTAGGTAGGTACAAACTACCTACCTCATTGGAGTCTGCTATATTATCATAACCAATGGTTAGTCTTTGAATGACATGGCTCAAAATCGTTCACTCCTCCCACTCTTAGATCTTAAAGTTTCTAAATTTCTCATAGATGCTTTTCTATTATTTTACTAATATTTTCTCGAATTGTATCTTGAATGCATTATTATTATTATCAATAATACTATTACTCTATCTTTACTACTCTGAAATTCGATCTAACAAATTCATCTCACTGTGCTAATGAGATATTACAACTTGAACAAATGTACGTATATCCCAGGTTCCACATTGCGTTTGACTGATTAAAAATTATGTATATGAAGCATTTTGGAATAATCATAGCAACGAGTAAGCTAGAGAGATGGAAATACTGCTAATCAGGTTGTCTATGAAATCCACATAGTCGAGATACATATATGATATTTAAACATGATCCGCGAGAGATTTCGGGTTAGTTAGACTAGCAACTGAACTGTAACCTGATCGATAAAATCCAATCAACATTAAGTACTATCTAGTATTTAATGGATCAACCAATTGTAAATACATCAATTGTATAGAAAGCCATTTGTCAATTAAACAGCCAAACAGTAATCTCTTTGATCACGGGCATTAAGTGCACAGATTCGAATCACACAAGGAGTATCAGCTTCCCTAAGCATTTATCTACGTCATGCTGATGATAAATGCTAACGGGCATCAACGAATGTCTAAAACGTGCTGTCGTTTGCCTCTAATCAACTAACAGTCAAACAAAATATACTTGAAGTTAATTTCACTCACACTATTGGTTGTATTACCGTCTTCAGATAGATAGAATATGATCAGCACATCGATGACTATATACAAACATGAGATCGGTAACTACTACAATTCAGCAATTACACAGTAGTGTACATAATTACTTACTTTATGTTCACAGCCAGAACCACTGTAACTGTACAATGATAGTGTATCTGCAGATGACTGAATTTGATTTATTTTAGGTGGAGGTATTTGACGTAAACCAAATGCCATTGATACAATAGCAGTCATATGAGTTTCAGGTCCAAATACATAAATTGGAATATCGATAGTACGACCTTGATGTTTTGACAGAAAACGAATTAAAGTAAGAAAGTTTTTTCAATGTAGAATGTTAATTTAAAAATATAAAACAATTAATAACAATAGTATTAAATGTGGTAAGTTGGTGAGCTCTACTAGATTAAATATTGTACATGTTAAATTGTGAAATATGCCGATTACTGATTACTTGTATAAGTAGTTGTCATTACAGGCAAGCTGACAAAAACGTTCATTAAACAATATGGTATCAGTTTTCATCACTAGAGATTACGATAATTGGTCAACAGTCTTAGCCTCCAAATGCCATGGTACGACCGAGGGTAGGGAGAGCCCATTTAAACCAGATTGGTGGGTACAAAGGAATCACATAAGGAAGCTAGAAAACCCTGATTCACAACAAATGGTGTATATGGGCTCCAGAATTGCGTATGAACCTACTTTTGATCACAGGCTACCATAGGACAGAATCTTCTAACGTCGCTCCACTGCGCTGTGAATAAGACCTCCAGGTCAATGTCTCGGAGTGTGATCACCTAGGGAAATTACCTGCTTCGGTTTGGGTACCCGGATAGTATTCTAGCCCGTACACAAATTCAACGACTTGTGTGGTGTACATATATTTATGTCACCCTTTGTACCAATATTTATATGCTTAAATAAATGAAATAAATAAATAAACGACGGTCTTTTTAGTTCACTTTACATAAATCCCCAATAATCAAAAATAAATAAACTCATTTGGCGACTAGATCATGTTGAGAACATCGATTCTTATCTGATTTCACACAATAGTTCATCGTAAAACGCAACTATTAAGAAAGTAGGGATTTACAAGTAGAACTGTAAAGATTACACTGTCTGCTTGTCACTTATTCCCTCAGTTATGTATTTATTAAGATCTGCTACGAGAGTTAGGAAAACAGATATACGATAACATAAACCGTTCACAAAAGAAGTACACACTATTATTTCTCATAATAATAACAAAATTTTAAACCAATCTTTAACAAGTGAGATAAAATAAAGAGTCAAAAACAGAAGTTATACTGCAGCTCCAAACGGAAATGTTGCAATGTATGAATATTTTTAAGGAGGATATTAGTGTATCCTATAAAAGACACTACTTACTAAAGATGAGAGTTTTACGTTACAAGAATGAACTTTTAGCGGTCATTTTAAACATTTCAAGATTGTGATTTTCCTATTTAGGGATAACTCTGTTAGAATTTTCAATAAAAATTTTGTTACCCAATATCTATTTGAATTATAAAAACTGGCATTAGGATAATTACTTATCTCTTATAACACATGATGTTATGACGTACAGTGTCCGAAATTCGATACTGATACACGGTATGCTATGCGCCAAACCCCCCCCCAACTGACTAGTTGAGCGAGAACACAAGAGTGAGAGAGAAACCGTATTGGACTACCGAATGAAATGCACAAATACTCATTCATATATATATCATTCTATCCTTAGGGAAATGACCCATTTTGATCCCAAGGAAATGCACTTGAACTTTGGGTCACTTCTGATCGCCATTGATTAGCACTGATTAGGCTACTCTCCATATCACATGATGGTCATATAAATGATACAGCTCAAATAAAGATTAGCATTTAGTTAGACATTTAAATCATTTCATTAAATACATTGGGTAACATAATCGGTCACTAGTAAATTGCTGGAAACTACAACTTACTTTAGTCTTATTTATATCAGTACAAATATATTGATTGACTAACTAAAGTTTACTAGTACATATGTGCACTAAAAACCTGTAAAAAAATAGATCCAAATTATCTTTCAGTTTAATACAACTAAAAATAATAGTTTAGTTTTATCCTACCCAATTCACGCATTACACGAAGACCTTCCTGGTAGTTGGGACCAGCACGACGGACAAATATACGTATATTATGTCTCTTCAATTGTTCTTTAAATTCTGTCAAAGCACGCACAATACCTTTGAATGTAGCAGCAATATTGGTGAAATTTGCAATTCCTCCACCGATTAGTAAAACTTTACCTAAGACAGGTTGAAATTTTTAAAAGAATTTCGTAAATAAAACAGAAAAAAATTCTTGAAGTAAGTTCTAATGATACTGCCCCTAGAACTAATACGTAGTCAATGTTAAGATTTGTGAAAACATAATGTGAAAAATACAATAGAAACTTAAGGATTTAACTGAATCATGATGAAGGCAGTTTACTATCTGTACAGACCAGTTAGTCAACTAAAGGTTTCACGCAAATATATACTACCCAACGATATTACAGCTTTACTGTGACTCATTTACCAAGTAAATGTTTAAGTATTCACCATTGAATCACATTGTTTGTATGAATGAGTGATATTGTAAAACACGACAGGAGGCAAGGGGAAAGTTTATTAATTGCGAGGAGTTACCGAGTATTTACGTAGTATGTATACATAGCTTTCAATTTGCGATTTGCAACTTTCGGTGTCTTCTGCAGTCACGACCGCCTTCTCATCTAGTCTCCACGTGTTATGATAACACCGTGCTTTGGATTTATTGAAACACTTCGCTCCATCTGACAATCGTTGTAAATTTAACGCAAAGTTCCGCTACAAATTACTTACAAACAATCTTGTCAGTAATGTCCACTACAACACTAACCGACTGCTCGAACCAAAATAAGTGGGTTGAGGATCGGAACCATGATACTTGTAACACAGAATATTATAAGCTTTAAAAACTTTTTCCATGTAACCAAATGTAGTATTAATAACTGTGTATATTTAAAGTGACGTTGTACGTGGTGGTTGACTGGATTATGAAGACCACCACATCTGACGATAAGCACGGAGTACAATGGACAGCTTGGACCCAACTAGACGATTCGGACTTCGCAGATCATCTAGCCCTCCTATCCCATATACAACAATAAATGAAGGTCAACAAAGTCAGTGCGGCAGAAACCCATGCATCAGCAGAACTCAACATACACAAGGGAAAAATCAACATCCTCAAATACAACACTGACAACACCAACCTAATCACAATCGATTGAGAAAGTATGGAAGTGGTGGAAACTTTCACCTGCCTAATCAGTCATCAATGAACAAGGAAATTCTGATACAAACGTAAAACCAAAGATTGACAAAGTAACAACACAACTCCCATAGACAAAATAACATATGGGATTCAAAAGATCTGTCAAACAACATCAAAGACACATTCCTCAATACCAACGTCAACACAGCTTGTTCCGTTATACAAAGCTAAAACTTACAAAACTATCACAACCATCATCAAAATAGTACAAGTGTTTAAGAACAACTGTCTACACAAGATACTCAATGTCCGTTGGTTGCATATTATCAGCAACAATATACTGTGGGAGAGAACAAACCAGCTGTCAACTGAAGAGCAAATCGGGAAAACAAGTTAAAGGTGGATAGGACATACATTGCAAAAATCATCAAACTGCATCAAGAGACAAGCGCTAACTTGGAATCCTGAAGGAAAACGGAGAACAGGAGGATCGAAGAGCACATTGCATCGAGAATTGGAAGCAGACATCAGAAGGATGAATAGCAACTGGAAGCAACTGGAAAGGATTGTCTAAGACAGAGTTGGATGAAGAATGATGGCCTATGCTCCTGCACGAGGGGTAACAGGCGTGAGTATGTAAGGTACCTTAGAGAGTAAAACAATCGACATTCAACCCAACAGATCATAGGTTCTAATCCTATACTACTAACTTATGTCTTAGGCAGTCGGGTATTATACAAAGCCGAATAAACAAATTTTACTTTAATTGCATTTCAAATTAAAAGCAAAATTAAACAGAGTAAAAAACTATTGAAAATGCAAATCTTACCATCTGGATGTAGTTCTCCAGTAGTCATCAAAGTTAGAATTGTTTTTGAATATTCATAAGTTAATTCTTCTGATGGTGCTCCAGAATATTCACCATAATTCGCTAAATCTTTTACACCTTGACTTGTACCGCCGGCTGACTTGATTTTTTCAGCTAATTCACAAACTGTATCAGCATAAATTACTGAGGCTCCACCACCTGCACTCATTGTCCATATACGACCATTTGGGTTAAGTATAGTAAGCTTTAATGAAGCACCTGTTCGAGCATCCAACTTTGCGATGTACGCTTCCTAAATTAAAAAATATCTGAAAATATAACTTTATTTTGATTGAAAGCATATACTCATTTATGAAATACAGATTCATATAGATGGACTCGAGTTATAATTAAATATGACAGCTGATATGATAATACTCGATTGTTCTGACCAAAGTGGATGGAGTGAGGTTCGAACACGAACTATAATGGATGAAAGCTGAACCCCTAAATCGTTAGGTCACCGTTACAAGTTATATACGTTGGAGAAAGCCATTTAAGCGAATACGTGTTTTCGGTATTTTCTCACCACCCTTTAAAATTTACAAATAAATATTTTTGGATTTATCTGGCTGGATGCAGTTAACAAAAAAACCCTGTGGATTTAGATTTCACGGGGGTTATTTCTCTGAGGACTGAAAATACGCTTTCCTGACGAGTATTAACTGGCATGGAAACAAGGATTGCTTTTGACTACTTTTAACCAACATTAAAAAATAGTCCAGGAGATGTTAAGTAACCTATATTAATGACAATATTGCAATTTGATTGGTAGAATCCGATCAACACAAGGGATTCAGTAAGTTATTCGATCAGTCAAAACGTATAACCTGGTATTTATGTACATCAGCTCAAGATGCCATATCTCATTAGTACAGAGAGATGGAATCGCCAGACCAAATCCCAGAATAGTAGAGGTAGTAACAGTATTAGTAGTAATAAAAAAGATTAGATATTAAAGATACAAATCGACAAGAAAATAAAAATTAGTGAAATGAAGAAAACATTAATGAGGAATTAAGAATCTCATAATTTGGGGGGAGACAAAAAAACGATGCATCTGCGTTATTGCAAATGATTTCGAGCCATGTCATTCAAAGACGCCAAGCAATGGTTACGACTATCACGCAGACACCAACCAGGTAGTCTACACCTATCATCATGGCTCATTCCAATTGTCGATAACTTCATGGACTGATGGCGCTTTGTGAATTGGTGCCGAGATTTCACGAGAGATCAGACCATAGGGACTGATGAGACTATCAACAGGAGTGAAGAGGTAAACACACTGAGCTATTAACTTGACTGTATGATGAATTCGAGCGTTGATTCAGTCCAGTAGTGAGGCGACATTTGGCATTTGGAAGGAGAGAATCCTATTTAATAATGTTTAAATCGTTGTTTCAGGTGGTCAGAAGACTGCATTTTGTCAGCGCCTCCATCAAATAGAATTATCTCATCTGCGTATACTAAGTCAACAAGTGAATCTCGTGGTAGAAAATCAACCCCTGAAAAGTTAAACGATGAAACCGTTGTCTCTGGAGGAATCATGTCCATGACGAAGTCAAGTAAAAATGTGGAGAGGACAGCCTTGACGAACACCATTTGAAGTACCCAAGTTTGATGACGTTCTGCTATAAGTTCTCACTTCACCAATAGTGCTTGAATAGAGAATTTGTAAAAGGTCAATGTACTTCTTTGGTACATCTCTCAATCATAGACACTGCCATAGAACCTAACGATCAATAGAGTCGAACGCCGACTTAAGTTAAACCAAAGACGGACGTTGAAAAGTATGTCTATGTTTCAGAACCTGGTGGAGGGTTAGTATTCGGTCTGTACATACATTCACGAATAGGTCTGGAACCAGCCTGGTTTCTCGGGTCCGCTCTTCACGAGCTCTAGTTAGACTTCGATGTTTGAGGCTAATATTTTAGATACTTTATTTGTTTGACTGATTCCTCTGTAAATATCGCAAGAGGATTTTTTATCCTTCCTTATAAACTGGGAGACTAGTCAGATGGGGTTACCTCCAGTTCCCAGATATTAGCTAAAACTTCAGTTAGTTTAACTGACAAAACCGAACCACTAACCCGAAAAATCCCGAAGGTTAATCCATCAGATCCTGCTGCTCCCCTCACTTGAGATTGCTTATGGCCGCTTCAACCTTATTGAGAGTTTGCTATTTAAGTTGCATGGAGATGGTAGGTAACAGAGGTGTGGTTGAAGGTTAGTTGAACTGTTCCCTAGAGCGCTCTACCCATAGGTCCAATCTCTTTGATAGAGAGTGAATTATGGTCCCGTTTTTTATCCGGAATGGTCTAACTAACAGCCTAATTTTTAATATCCGTTTCCTTGATAAGTCTACTGTTACCTACTGCTACTTCCATTTCTAACTCTTCTGCTTTCGCTACCCACCACTGCTCATGATCATTGGGTAGTCCTTCTTATCAGCTTACTTTTAAGCTACCTTAACTCTTCATCGTCTTCAGAGTCAATATGGATGAGTTTCCGAGCATCTATCAGTTCTAGAAACACCTCTGAGATCCACTGATCCTTCTTAACCTTATGGTTTAAGTTAATAGTAGAGATCACTGTTGTTCCCACAGGTTTTTGGATATAGTGACAAGCTACCTTGGGGTGGATATCACTTTCACGGTTGAATAACTCCTCTAGTTGTCCCTAAAGTATATTTTTTAACTTTTTCATCATTCAGTTGAACTTTAAGGGATTCCCTTGTAATGACTTTTTTACGCCCAGTAAGATGCAGACAATTACGTGCTCGAACTAGAACATGACCCGAGTCCACACATGTGTTCCAGAATATTTGACAGTCTTTTATCGGGCCTCTCTAACGATCGCTAATGGCAATATGGTTTAATGATTAAACAAACACAACATTGGTTACTACTCAGCTATCAATCAATATAAATATTTTTGTTTGTAATTGTAAAACATGATGATACATAACCGAAAACGCTCGTTTGTTTAAAATATTTACCAATCGATCATTATGAGAATATTCCAGTTATTATGGATTCATAAACATAGTTATTCGGCTAATACAGACAGCTTTGCTTAAAAGCTGACTACATAGTTCGAAGTATAGAGCTAGAGGAGAGATTTTGGAAGAGATTAATTATCAAAATAATCAGAGAAAGTGATTTGATAAAAGTATGTAATTCCAAGTGAAGAAAATGGAATCTTTCATAATGACAAATCAAAATAAAGATATTTTTAGTAAAGGGTTATGGAGATTGTCTATTTGAAACCACGAACCGAATTAAATTAGACAATCAGTGAAGACCTAAAATCACTGGACAGCTATTTCGTATTAATAAGCATCCACCAACCCGCACGCAGGGATCGAATTCAGCACAGTCGGTATCGCTCACAAACGCCTAACCTCTAGGCTACTGAGCAGCCATCCAACAGAGTTAATATCTAGCCTCAATCGATCCACGATATTGAGCAACCACCTTCCATTGTCTTCGGTGGGTGACTGCCTTACAACCGACACGGATTAGCGCGATGTCGTGGATTGATTGAGGCTAGACATTAAAACCATTAGATGCCGGTTCAGTGGTCTAGCAACTGGGCGTTCGAGTGCGAGACCGAAGATCCTGAGTTCGACTCTCACTGGCGAGATCGTGAATACGCTCTTCTGAGAAGTCCAATACTACAATAAGACGGCCATCCAGTTATTTCAAGTCTTTAGTTGTTGTATAACTTAGATCGGTCTTACAGTGGTCTTGAGTGCTGTTAGAGGTATGAGGGCGGTTATCACTTCCCGGTTGCCCACACCGTGGAAGGGTTCTGCTGGAGGTGCCTGAAAAGGAAATTGGATTAGAGGTGGTCATAGTAACCTGAGAGCGTGACCGCAGTGCCCAAGGGACAGCTGCTTGAGGTCGGTCACACACGACCTTTTTATGAGTAATTTTTGTGTTAGCTCCGTACTTGTTGAGACCTTACCGCCGGAGACAGATATCCGTGGGATAAGGCGAGGTGTGCATTCTTAGGGTCGACCTTTTCTAACCCCTCCCCTCCTTGTGGGAAGGCAGCATCGCTGTTATGCTGGTTGTCTGAAGGAAACACCTTACTGCTGTCACACCTCTGTACAGTCAGCAGTACGACTTCGCCTTCGGACCTAGGTTTTGTTGCTTTTAGTCTTACCGCTCTTCAACCGACCTGTCTGGCATGGTAGGACCTTGAGGAACGGTTGTTCCAGCCAGTATAGCTCAGTTGCTTCATCACGATAGGCAAGCCCGACCACCACGTCAAGGTAGCAACAACGGTCAGGGTTAGATCGGTTAGTGATTTCAATGATAAGAAAGCCTTCAAACACTTGTGTACGTATTAATTACAAGTAATATATGGTAAAAAATCAAAGCCATGATAAAAAGAGAAATTTATTAAACCACTTTTTGTAAACATAACTCTTATTTGAAATTGTGAATGATTAAAGCCTATGAAATGTGAAGGTTAATGCGGACTTTTCAGGAAGATTGGTTGAATAAACGAACAGTATAACAATTAGGCTCGAACCATCTCCATATCAACGTTTTTAGAAATCAGCTAAGTCGACTGCATTGTTATTGTGAACTTGTAAGACTGACTAGTATCATTGCAGAATCATTTAAAACAAGAACGATAGAATACTATGTCAAAGAATAATTCTTACATAAGAGATTTCCCTAGTTAAAATTTTAACCTCTACGACGCTTTTCATATTGCATTATTCAATGAAGAATAAGTTGAGAGTATTTTATTACTCGTCTATTGGTTAGTATGAATTTAACAAATTAAAGACTTAAGTAACATAGTTGGGAATTAGTTGTAATAACGTAAATATCCTACTACAAAGAATTTATTTGTTCTTTAGAAAATTCAAATTATTTCTTTTTGTAAACAATTAAGAAGGAAGTATGGAACAACTAGAACCGGTTCAGCATTCTATGATGTTTTGCCTCTATATATACCTACATACAATGGTGCTTTTATGGTTAAAGGAACTAGATATTTGACCAAAATCCACCAATTCAAACCCAATCTCAGTTTAAACAGTCGGATAGAATAACTAAATCTGACATAAAAATGTAAAGCCGATTACATGGTAAATGAATTATATTATACATTTATTAGCACCACCAGTAGTACAAAATGTAAAAAAGGTGGTGATATGGATTTGTTTGAAAATCAATCAATCAGTAAGTAAGTTAATCATAATCAACATACAGAATCTGGCACAAATTTGCGTCAGTTTAAGTTGACATATTATATACGCACGAAAGTAATATTAATAATAATAATCATTATTATAATTACCTCTTTACTTTCAGTTTTACCAAAACCAAAAGGAAATTCCAACATTTTTCCATTCACTGACCATTCCAAACTTGAAGTGAACAAATGTTCTGCACACTGATCCAATTTGGCAGCAACATCCAATATATGAATATATAACTGTTCGTTAATATCATTATCTATATCCTGTAGTTCATTATCGTTAATGATATGATAATTGCTACCATTACAATCATTAAGTTTGTTTGCATTCATATTCCATTTACAAATAACTAATGGATTGATTTCTAAATAGGTGAAGTATAATTTGTCAAAAACTGCATGTAATTCAACGATGAAATCAGCTAGCATCCTAATAATAAATATGTTTATTGTTCAATTAGAATATATGTAGGCATATATGAATTTTAATAAAACATTACATGGTTGCAAGAAAAGGATTCCTATTAACTTGACATAACGGTTGGGCTTGACTATCGTGATGACTCAGTCAAATTATATATTAGCTGTAACATTTGATACTTAAAAATCTACCAAGCCAGTTAGGTTGGTTAGATATGTTAGAATACAAGTAACAAGCTTAAGAACCAAGGGAAAAGTTTTACTGCTAATTATACTGAGGTATGGCGACAGTAATATGTTTCCCTCAAGAAAATTGAATCTGCAGAGATGCCTGCTTTTTACGGAAAACGGATAATCGGAAAACGCAAGTTTTAAGAAACGTTTCGCCCCGCTGATTTATGCTGCTAACAGTAGGACTATAAAGGTGAGGGACTAAATCAAAGGTTACTCACAAAACGGTTATATTTGATTGGACTTAAACAGTTGTCTTCTCGGTTACGTGACCGAAATCGCAGATTATTATCCAGTTCCCTTCCTGAGTCCCTTAATAAGAGGTATTCTACCATATTGTGAGAGGCCGGGAATCAATAACTCCCCTCGTGAGTCTACCAGAATCCGAGCTAACCTAATGCTTAAATTCCCTTTCTATATTTCTTCAATAGAACAATATTGTTTGCTGACATTAGTTTAATTTATGGATATTTTTAGCAACGTACTGGCCTCAGGATAAAACTAAAAGTCCAGGGATAACTGATGTCAATATTCACATTGAGATTCGGACCCCATGTCTAGAGATTCGAACGTCAAAGTTATCCACTGAAGTACTAAGTTTAGGCATCCCCAAACTCTTCAACAGGTTTGAAAGTGTAAGGGTCTGTAATTTATAGCTGTCAATATTCAGGAGTGTAATTGATCACTTTCAGTTGCCATATGCCCATTCTAAGTGAACTGACTTGAGATAATCTTTATGCTTGGATTGGTAGAATATTAACTTCGGTCTGGTATACATTTGTCTCATGTTTCAATGAGTCTAAGGATAGTGTTTTACTTTAGAAAATAAATATTCACCAAATTTTAGGAAAAAATTGTTCATTGAAAATAAATAACCGAGTCATCATATTTAACAAGGTACCACCAACAAACCTTGCACGCTTCGGACATTTTACTCCTGAAAGCAGTGAACTCTGTAATAATTGATCGGCAGAACACCCAGCTTTCATTCCAGAACCAGATTTCATAATATCTTCAACTGAAACCTCAAAACGTTTAGCCTATAAAAGCAAGATATAGACGATTACTCAGCAAAAAATATGTGAACACAAATATGTGTTCGACAAAATTATTTTCAGATACCTGGATTTGTGAATATTTATCTGCCAGTGCAGCAGAAACCCATGCATCAGCAGAACTCAACATACACAAGGGAAAAATCAACATCCTCAAATACAACACTGACAACACCAACCTAATCACAATCGATTGAGAAACTATGGAAGTGGTGGAAACTTTCACCTACCTAATCAGTCATCAATGAACAAGGAAATTCTGATACAAACGTAAAACCAAAGATTGACAAAGTAACAACACAACTCCCATAGACAAAATAACATATGGGATTCAAAAGATCTGTCAAACAACATCAAAGACACATTCCTCAATACCAACGTCAACACAGCTTGTTCCGTTATACAAAGCTAAAACTTACAAAACTATCACAACCATCATCAAAATAGTACAAGTGTTTAAGAACAACTGTCTACACAAGATACTCAATGTCCGTTGGTTGCATATTATCAGCAACAATATACTGTGGGAGAGAACAAACCAGCTCTCAACTGAAGAGCAAATCGGGAAAACAAGTTAAAGGTGGATAGGACATACATTGCAAAAATCATCAAACTGCATCAAGAGACAAGCGCTAACTTGGAGTCCTGAAGGAAAACGGAGAACAAGAGGACCAAAGAACACATCGCATCGAGAATTGGAAGCAGACATCAGAAGGATGAATAGCAACTGGAAGCAACTGGAAAGGATTGTTTAGGACAGAGTTGGATGAAGAATGATGGTGGATGGCCTATGCTCCTGCACGAGGGGTAACAGGAGCAAGTTTAGAAAACTTATCACTAACATTAGTTCAAGAAGTACAGAAAGTCACGATCAGTAAAAAAAAAATTCGTTTTAGATTAGCGCTCCTAAACACTACTCACTAACAGTTGAGCTCGAACTTAGATTAAGAAATCTCGGTTTCATAGCTAGTCCAATACTGTTCAACGAAGTTGGGTGGCTTCCCAATAATGCTGAGTAACACTTGCACTTAATCGTAGGATTACGGAAGTTAGAGATGGTAAATGTTGTTTTGGAACCAAGTAGTTAAGAACCAATGTAAAGGACTGATTTTGTTGCACTCTGGAGAAGTCCCACGAGAGGGCGAAACTGTAAGTGATTTTCGCTGATATCAGTTTGCGATAAGAAGAATTTATCTTCAAAATAAGCTTAGATAGATTATGCAATATTCTGAAAATTAGTTGATCAAATAACAGTCATTTCTCGTACAAAGCAGTCTAAATCATTTTTTTTTCAAATTTATTTCGAACGTTGTTGATGAATGAATGTATGCATTTAACACTTTTCTATTTTAGTTGCCTATTTCGTTTAAATGCTTCAATGTAAGCCCCAACTAAAGAAGCGCGAATTCAATGTTTCAAAACTAACCTCTTCTTCCCGTTTGTCGTAATTCTAACTATTTTTGTCTCTTTAGATAGGTAGTTTTTAAACTATACTGCTAGGTGGAACGCTTGGACGATGTCGTGGAGAAGTAAAGGATCAATCCATCAATTCATAACGGTCTTTTCGCTGGAACAGTCAATGGCTCAGTATTATCTAGGATAAAAGTGTACTATACTGGAACACATATTTTTGTCATATCTAGATTGTAAAATAGTGGTACAATGATTCAACCAAAATCTGCCGAATCGCAACCCCTCTATTAGACTGTTGGCCACAAAACTGTCTAATTATTTAGAACTCAGTTAATTTGGAGACCTGTTAAGCAGCAATGTTTTGTGTGAAAATTCTGCGAATTAAGATGTCCTGTTAAAACAACTCCATTATTCAATCACAAAATATCAGTAAGTTAGGAGCGAAAATCAGAACACAATAATATGCGTCCATTTGCTCCGTTGACTCTCCAATGTTGTTTACAAAGGAGAAACAATAGTGATAATTCGGGAAAAACGAGTGTACAAACTTTGTATGCAATACGCACCTCCGACTGCATCCTATAGAAAGGAAGACTAAGAGAATATCTCTCAACGGTATGATCCCATATTATTTCCTCCACAGTGAATAAATAGTTGATATCTCGAAAAATTCAACGTGTAAACAAATCTACATTTAGTGAGCTTCTAGAGATATTTCCATCAAATGATTTAAACCAGGTTTGTTTATTAAAAAGGACGATATTGTCAACGTTGCATTGTTGTAGGGGGTAACATAGTACTTCATGCTTTTAGTTATAAATACCCTTTTTTATTTTTGATTCTTATCTGAGCTCTGTTCATTTTACCCTTTTAACAAGTTTTTATTGTAGTTGAGCACTAATTTTAAACTTCTACAAGCGACTTCATAAGCTGTTCTGTTTTCTCTTATTAAATATTTATAAAAGTAACTTATGGAAAATCAACTGTATAGACTATTCTTGAAATTTGTTCTCCGTTTCTTGCATTTTACTGGTCCCTCATATTGGTCAAGTATTCTTTCTATAAATGTGATGTAAAGTATACACAATTATTATCTAATGCTTAGTGCCATAGTTCCTATGTTGTAAGCAGTTGGAGAATCCGTAAAGTGATGAAACTTATACATTTGGATACATTTGTTCTAGTATTACTAAACTTATCAGGGAAGAAAGGCTATATAGAAGAAAAACTATGAAAGACATTTTTATATAAGCTAACGACAATATTGTACATACCTTAGAATCTACTTCACCCACATCTACTCCACCGGCATGATGAAAAAGGATAACATTTGAATTCCTTTGAGTGTACATACACAGATAGTACTCTTCTTGCTTTAAAAACAACAAAAATTTGTCTTTATCAAATTCCATTTAAAGCGACAGCAAATAAACAATAAAGGTTGTATAAATCTGATGAGCTGATTGCAAAATTACTATTGTTATAAATACAACTTATTGAGATAAATAAATGTAAACTCGTACACTAAGAATGTTAGCCTACTTTCACGAAAGACTTATAATGAAACATTAAAACTAGTCAATATATGCCCTGTATATTGACCCGGATGTCTAGATTATACAAATTCATGTGATAAAATTTGTTCAAATTACCTGTTCATGTGGTACAAATGGTTCAATAAGGAAGCGGTCGAGAATTCCACAGGTAGAACCAATCTGAAGTAAAATGTAAAACAATAATCTCAAATTTTAAGAAAACTGAAACTAAAGATGTACAGATAGTGATGGTCCACATGCTAAATATTTGCTCGAACTCCTACTGACTTGAAAATGCAATCAAAGATCCTTAGGAGCGAAACAAAACTTCTTGCTAACAATCCATCCTACTAGTATCTAAAGGGAAAATAATCTCTGGTCGGTTGTAATGTAGGCTAAATGCTTGACTAAAAATATTGTAAGACTGAAAATTAGTGATGATAGTAGAATAGTTCACAACACTTTCGATGCCATAATAATTCAAAATAACGTTAAATTTATGCAAATAAATATCGGTACAACTGTACACCAAAATGCATATGCGCCATAGAAATAAAACGAAGTTGTGAAAATACAGAGAAAGGATTACAATCAAAACTAGACAAATAAATAAAAATAAACGAACGAGAGTAGTATTTAACTGAGGAAGCAGATAAGGTGAAAAAGGGCCAGTGAATTCTTCTAGGTACGTCAAACATTTTATGAAAAATGTAGACTAACAACAGGATCTTCACTAGCTCCTATTCCGAGCCGTTTGATAGCGTCTCAAGCCAAGGACGCACCACCCCTAGGACCCCAGCGAAAGAATCGTGATGGGCCAACAAATGTCGTGTTTGTACATTTTTCCTACATACTAGGGCCGCGTGTCATAATTGACTTAGTCGAGTTGGAGAGCATAGATTTCAAATCAATAGAGCAAAAGAGCTTCAAAAGCCTGAGAACGAATAGAGTATTAACCCATCATCTTTGACTACCGACCACCATGGAAGTGCGTTACCTGACGTTACCCCATTACCTTGAGGATTAGACATTACACCTACCGCAATTTTTCAAAGGGAGTACTGCTCATAAGGCAGTAATCTAGCAACTTATAAATAAAACGTAATGGTGATATAAAACGTACTGGTACAAGGTAAGGAAAAATAGACCAAATAAATTTAAACACTATAAAGGGAATGTTTTTAATATCTGGAACGGCTTGATTTCGAAACTTATTACAAAACGTATAAGAATAACGCCAACGAAAAATGAGCCGAAAATTTTAAAGCAGAGAAACCCGAAATACTGACGGCAATAATTTTTAAACAAAAGGATGAGCCAAATTTAGTTAGACCGTACTTTACACGTTTTCCAACTAGTCCTACTAGTTACATTAGTAAACATTTAACTAAAATTCAAAAGCCGTGTGAACAGAATGAAAGCCAAATATTAACTAGATTTCAACATCGCCCCGAAATAAACCTCACTAAAACGCAAGAACTAGAACCAACAAAGCATTAAGTAATAATCTCTAGAGTACTTTTAATTACGTTCCATTCCCATAAAAAGATTTTTTCTTAATGTAAGGTAACAACTAAATGTAATTACCGTGAATTTGCTCGCCAACAAACTTTTTATCCTCCCCTGTAAAGCCACCCAATCGAAGCCTGCGAAAACTAGTCCCAATTTTCCTCTGCGTTTTATGAGGACATCGGGCTTACTGACAAGATCCTACATAATATGTTAGCAAATATTAAAAATCATCCATACATTGTGTAATATCCATTCATCTGTCACTAGACTAACATCATCACCCAGTTTAACTACTCGAAGTGGATTTTTCGCTAACTTAGAGTAGCATATCGAGTTGTATATAAGTAGCTTAGCAGATTCTTCGTAAACAGCCTTCGATGACATTTGTTTTAAAGTACCAAGCTGAAATTATACATTCTTTTACTTCCGTAAAACAAAACATGAAATCACGATCTGTAGATTTGTGTCTGCTTGTTGGATTGGCTTTATTATTAACGAGCATACTGTCTTATTTCCTGGTTTGTTGAAAGCTATCTGGTAGACTACTGGACGAGTATATTGAAAATTCTCGTTCGATTACCAGGGTTAATGTAGGGTTAAATTAAAACTAGTAATACGTTGGAGACAACTAGGTTTTGTGACAGGCATACATGCCTTAGATATCTTGTGGTTATGCTACAACTCCTTATAAAATTCGAACCAACCCTATGAATTAACGTGTAGAGTTTAGTAGCCTGTTGTGTTTGCTTGTGGTGGCAGGATCACCATTTTAGTAGCCTGTGTTGTTCGCTTGTGTTAGCAAGATCACCATTTTAGTGCCCCGTGATCTGACTCCAATTTGATCGTAATGATTGGTTGCTATCGTCCATTCTCGTATATAATCATTGACTTAAATCGCATTAGTTAATAACGGAATTAAATAAGTCAAATAACGAGAATGGAGTTTTGAATGTATATATTTCGTATAATTGTTGATTAGACGAACAAACGGAGGAACGATGCGAAGATGAGAAAGCGAAGCAAAATTGACGAGCGGTGGAGATGGCTGGTAAGCCAACTCTCCTTTAACAGAGAGTTAATCAATATTTATAAGCACATCAAGATAAATTACAGACATGTGATGAGTAACGGGATAAGAAGTGTACATACGCCTACGCGCTCATATAAAGACAGCCAAGACATTGATAAGCGAATAATTAACAAGGTCAGAATATGACTCAAGTAGAATGAATAGATTGAGATGTCCGAAAGTTAGAATAAGGTATATGGGCTTAACATAATGACAGACACTACAAGAGCCAGCAAAATTTCACTGAACCTAACCAAATCATTCAGCAGTCGGATCACCGAACGGCTTACCGATCTCCTCCACAGTCAAGAACAATCAACGCACACCATTGCTTTTCATATCATGAACCAGCTCACTTAGTTGAAGTCGTACTCGACTCCTTGTACCTACTCTTACCAATATATTTTTGTAATAACGTCGTGTTGTACGACAATCAACGTAGCCATAGTAACTGAATGCGACAAATGAGCAATCCATGCTAGGTACTGACTAGGAAGTGTGACCTCGACGTTATTTGGTTGGTCACACCCTTACCGCATAACTCCAGTAGGGCTTTAATCGTTCGATACAAATCATATATGTTGGTGATCTACAAACGTCCTGAAGTTTGTCCTGGTAAATGACTTCATTTCTTCTTGAAACATAACTTCGGAAGCAATCTTCAGTCTTCAGAGGTAACAGTGAGAAGTCAATCAAACTATGTCAATTTTCGTGGACCCTAGTTGTATTAAATAACATGTTCTGGTAAGGAATTCCAATATTTTCCACTCGACTCCCGTAACAAAGAACTAAAAGTAGATGATGTGCTTTGGGTCTCAAGACTTTCAGTGAATCCCCTACCAAATGATCAGTGGTGAACAAAAAAGATGCAACGGAAATCTTTACTAAATATACGGTAAGCGAGTAACAAATTACCTTGTAATATGAGGTAAAATAGCAGGAATAGGGTGAAGAATCTTAGTCTGTTTTCATAAGGTAGATCAGTGAGACGCTTCACCGTATCGGTACCTCACCGATGATTTCGCTTACGTATATCCACCTTATATTTGAAATATGGACTCTGATTAAACCCGTAATGCAAACGAACATCAAAAGCGTTGTGTATATCACTGTAACATTACTTCACAATAATGACTAAATTACTTGTGGAAAGCCTAGAATACATAATGCCTGCGAGGAAGATCCTTCAATAATTTCATTAATTTAATTAACAAGGTAAAGTTTGACGATCAAGCAATTGAGTGAAAAAGCAAAACACTGCGTAATTCTGGCGAGGGATTTGAGGTGTTGAACCACTTATCTTGTTTGTTCGTCCTAACATCGTGTCTTCCCGTGCCAACGTACCCATATCACTCTCGTTCGTCGTTGTATTGTATCTGGGGTTTTTGTAGTTTGTGGTTGGATTTCAGAATCAGTGAGGATATCCAAAGAAATTATGGAAGATTCTCACCATTATTATCGTTGTTTATTCAACTGTTATTGACATCATCCCAATATTGTTGTACAAAAGATCGAACTTGTCGTAATTGTTGGACAAACGGATCCCTGTATCACTGTTTGTCCACCGATACTGGTACGGCATTTAAAGACAGTCAGTAAAACCAAACTTTGCTCATTATAAGGACGTGGATATAGTAATCACATGTTCGGCATACAGTTCATTGTTTTGTAGAGATTTATTTAGCCAAAAGCATCGTACACCATGTCACCTATATTTGCACTACACAATCTTTATCGATCACATCAACTTATAATCAGTATATTTCAATTAAATCGTTTTCTACCTTATGCGTATAACTATCAACCAGTAAATATGACTACGAATAATTGGTTTACTGCACATCAAAGCATTGAGAGTAGAGCATATCTTTCGCGGTTACAATCACACTTAACGAATCGCTGTCAGCTGTCTGTCCTAAATTTACATAGTTACTATTATTTTCACACATGAAATGAATTTTCGATAACTATTCATATGCATTGGTAGTATTACTAGGATCTATCACACTTAAGTCATGACAAGGTCGAGTACAACTCCCTGTAACCAAGTAAACAGTAATAAACTTAACAAACTAACTGGAAAACTAGTTGGGGATTTTTCCTCTCCGCGATCATACTTGTGTTCCTTCAGTTGGCATACTGATACAAATGTGATCGTAAATAAATATATATGGACATCAAACCAGCACAAACATTAATTAACTTTCTAATTTGAACCAAAGATAATACTATTAGCAACATTTCTATGATATTGGTTGCTTTTTATATTTTTAGGCATGAAATACTTGTACTGCTTGTAACTTGCTTACGCCCGTTGCCCCTCGCGTAGAAGAATAGGTTACCCACCAGCACTCTGCACCCAAATCTGTCTTAGACAAATCTTTCAAGTTATTTCCGGTTTTTATTCATACATTTTATGACTACTTTCCATTCTTTGCGTGTTGTGTTCTTTGGCCTTCCACTTCTCCGTTTCTGTTCAGGATTCCATGTCAGCGCTCGCCTCTTGAGACAACTAATGTCATGAAGGCAGCATCCCCATTACGTAGAAGACAACTTTGTCGAAAAAACGCTGAACAGAATAAACAAATTAAACCATTTAAGCTCCACCCTGGGGTTGAAGAAAGAATTGTGATACCTCAGGATGGAAGCCAAGATTCTTCTTAAGTCAAAAGGTTTATGCCCCTTCTAACAACCAGACGAACAATTTGTATAGGTACATGGAATGTCTGAAAACGTAGGAGACCGGAAGGACCAACGAAAATGAGGAGATACAACGTGACAATGCTCCGAATAAGTGAAACCCATCGGACTCAAGCTGCACAGAAAGGGTTAGATTTGGGTGAGATGTTGCTGCATTCCGGCCACTAAAAAGAAAATGCTCCGCACACTCGGAGGATTGCTCTAATGCTGTCCAAATAAGCACGTAATGCACTTACAGGATGGGAACCTCACGGATCAAGGATCATCAGGGCATCCTTCAAAACGACCCGGCAATCCTGGTGCGAGATCTAAACGCCAAAGTCGGAATGGATAACAATGGTTATGAAGACATCATGGGACGCCATGGACTGACTGGAGTGAAGAAACAAGATCGATCATATTTTCATCAGTAAAAAATTCACCAGGTCAATGGGAGATGTAATAGTCAACAGAGAAGCTGATATAGCTTCAGACCACCACCGCCATGTGGTGGACAACTGAACAAACAACATTGAAAAAGTTCGATACTGGCGTCTTTCGACATGCTGACAAACTCAACGAATTCAAGATATTCCTTAACAACAGGTTTCAAGCCTTACAAGATCTACTCAAAGAAGAAGAAACAACTGCAGAGAATAACAGGAAAAAGATCAAAGAAGGCGAAACTCCAATCTTTTGCGAGGTGCTGAGACACAAGAAGCATCATTATATGGAGCAGATCTCTATCGGAACACTGGATCAGACTCAGTAACTGCAGAACAAAAAGACAATGATTAACAACTGCTGAACGAGAGTAAAGAAGGCCAGGAAACAGGCCAAATACACAGAAATAAACAGGCATTAAAGAGGAACATTATATATGACAAGCAAAAATAAGTGGAAGACATAGCAATAACAGTGAAAAAGTTGTTAGAGAGGGAAATATAATACAAATATATGAAACTGAGATTCAATAGCAAAGAACCAGGTGGTTAGACATCGGAATGATGAATATCCACTGGGAACAACCGGAAAGGATTGTCTTGGACAGAGTTGGATGGAAAATGCTGGTGGGCGGCCAATGCCCCTTCACGAGGGATAACGCGCGTATGTAAATAAGTTACTACATGTTCCTGACTTGAGCCAATACTATTTGTTTATTTAGGATGGAGCAGTGGTGAGCACTCACAGATCTCTTTACGAAGTATCTTGTCGTCAAAATTATTGCATTATGAAACTATCTACATAGGGATTACCATCAGCACCTTCTATAGATCTTCCAAAATCAGGCTGAACCCTTACTTTAGTCTCACAATCGCTTCCACTATTTTCATGTTACTTCCTTTGTCCTTTAGTTTAAAAAGAGAAAAACCAGAGCCTCACGTTATCAAAGTTAAAGTTGCAAATGGAAATCTGGCGCAAATGCTTGTTTGATATTCCGTTGTTATTGAAACTATCCCTAAATAAATTTGTAAATGCGATGCCAGTTTGATTTATCAGGTTAACTGTCGTCAGAATTGCATGAATTGTGAGAGTCATAGCATTTGGTTCACATATAACAAGTAACACTTAAGAGTAAAGCAGTTCGGGTTTTTATCATTTTCTTGAATAACTTACAGACTTGTGTCCGTGTCTACATTACCACAGGAGACAGATCGTTGCGCCCCTAGCCTTCTTGCAACCTAATCCAGCTGTCATTGTAGCCGACGTGTGGACACCCGCAATGTATATCCTAACCATCTCTGAGTCTTATCTCGTGGCTACCTACTCAAATAACCTATAATATTCAAGGAGTGCATTTAATACACTGATAGAATACTAGTAACATTTAGGCACCTTATATGGTACATTACACCTGCCAACGCACTCGCTAAACTTGTAAGTGAACAAACGACTACACTCCAGTTAAACATGTCACGACCCCCTTATCATCTTCATATCAAATAAGCATGCACTTACTGAATGTAATTAGATGTAAATTAAGACTCATAACAGTTAAAAGATGGAGTAAAATCTCAGTATACAGCAGGTACAAATGGCGCAACTTGTCTCCATCGATAACCGGAAACACAGAATAGAGATATTTGCTTAGCGGGTACATTCAGTAAAACTTTAATGTCAATTTTGAAAAAAAGTTGCATTACTATTTGAGGAACAATTATACTGTGACGTTAAAGGTTATCGAAATCGAGTTTTCTCGGACGTACGAAGCACTCAAACTGCAAGAACTTTATCAAAAAATAATTCGAATAGGAAATCTACAATCAGTAGGTTGTTACACTATTTCAACACTGAGTCCATGTAGTTTCTTATCCTAAGGCAGATGCCTATTGAGTCTTACTTCGTCAACTAAACATAAGAATAGTTGTTTGCCCTGTTGTTCTTCAACCATGGTACTCTGGCTAACATTTATGCCCAGGATAACAGACATACACTGAATACTGAAAGCGGATTTCGGCTTTCCAATGTTCAGCTTGCTTTTACTCACGACATAATGCATCTAACAATTTAACAATGTTAAATGGGCTATCTTCAGTAAAAAATCCAGAATACATCCATGGCCTCTATTACTTGATTCCAGGTTGTCAAGTTACTGGGTATTACAATCCTTCCGAATACATCACTGGTATTCAAAACAACTGGACTTGACTCATTGATAGAATAGGGCTACCTATAATACTAAATAGAATTAGTAACCGGAGATTCTTTTCTCTCATTTCTCTTGATAACATCAACAGTGACAGTCATGAACGAACACACGGACAGTTGGAAAATCACCGGCGTCAGCAACATTTAGTTCAGCTGAAAGGCGCTTACTCTGGTTTTTAATATCTACAAAATAATACTCGAGACAAAACGGATTAACATTTTATCGCATAAGAACGTAAACAAACCTGAGAAAATGCACTAACTTGAGCAGCAGTAGCGAAAAAAACCGAGGAAACCAAGCTGATTCAAAATAATTAGTGCCAACAATTAGAGTATCACATAAATTGTAGAGTGCAGGAACTCCTTAAGATTACGTTATGCAACAACACCCCAAAACCAGCGGAAAAACACACAGAAATAGGTAAAACGATCGCCATTGCTAACAAAGATGGCGGAAACGACAAATCCTGCTAAGTAGATTGCCAAACTTACGACCCGGATTTAAATTTAGTTCCAGTTATCAAAACCGTGTATTTAGAACGAAACCAAACTGATGTTGGTTTTCTTCCCGTATAATAGGACGACACGAGCTTCACAATTACGATGCAACCCCTGATAATCAATAATCACGCCTAAACTTCTCAGTTATCCAAAAACCAGCTCAAAACAACGCACTCTGGATTAAGGGTAAGGTTTCCAGGACTCTTGGACGACTACTGTGCATAGAACACCCCATAACTTTTTGCATCATCTCGTTTGTTTGTGCTGTTTGTCAAAATAACTATTTTATTCTTAATGTGTTCATACATGTGTGTATATTTTATCAAAAATCCAAATAGTCACTGTGCAAAAATTTTAACGCTACTGCATGTTATCTATAAATATATGTGCCGGTTTTCTATTTCCTCTTATGCTTTCCGTCCTTAAGGATGCTTGAAACCTTTGGTGAAAAAATATCTTTTGTATAAAGCGCATTTCACATTTAGTACTACCTTCAAATCACTACTTCGCAAAATAAACAAAAGCGATGGACTGATTACTGTAGCACAGTAAGCCTCTTACAAATATTTACTAAACCATACATCTTATATGTGTGCAACTATAATTAGAAGACTGGCGTACTATTGTAGAATTATGGTCTACTATGATATTAGCGCTGCTCTAATAATAGACCTAATCATAAATTTGTAGATTTTTATTATGTAACTGCCTAATTTACAAGATCTTACGTGGAAGTCACATCATCTACACCGACTCACTGCATCGTAACAATTAGCAATACATGATAGAGAACAATCTTAGGCTAGAGATAGAACAATATATTTAATATGAATAAAAGTTATAAGGTAAAATTCAGGAGGGACCACGCCTTCATGGTCGATCCATGCCATCAGATTAACTCGGATTAATTCCCATTTATTATCCCCGCCTTCTCCATTCCTCTGTATTTCTCCGCGTTAAGTGTTGAATAGTTTTTCCCATATTGTTTCATGTAAGGGCCCAATGCCACTACACTATCAATAGCAATAGTATAACCCGTCAGTACAGTGAAATTGACGCCAGTGATGTTGGGTCAGACACTACCGGTATACCAGTGTCTTATTAGGCAATATTTTTAAGGCATTCCAAAACAAATCGATGATGTATAGTAGGAAAGATTATTTCTGTGGTATGAAGAGCTGGTGTACTGTAAAATTTCCAAACTGACTAGTTGAAATATCAAAAGTATTCCGCCACAAGCTGAGGTGTGTTCTAGCACAAAGGCATAATTCTATTTTGTTACGTCAGTCTGCGACTCACGGGAGCTTTCAAAATAACAACCGAATCATCTCCAATATCATTCGTTGTCAAGTGATGTGTTTTTGTGATAGTGTGGTAAAATCCAATAAAAAGACAGCTTTAAAAAACAAATGAAAGTTTCAAGGCTATAAAACGCGTTACTTGCACTTTTAAAGAGTTGATGACAAGTTTAATTTTGAATTCGTTTTTACGTATCAACTAGACAAACAATTACTCAAATGCGCGTAGCTTAACTTCGTGTCTTACTTTATGCTGATTGGTTTTCTTCCAGTGCTTTAATTGTCGTTGCTGCGCGTTCTCGAATTTTAAAATACTAATGATCTAGTTGATTTTCACCTATATACCTCTTAATGAGTCTTTATTACGTGTATACTATGGATGTTCCGTGGATTGTTATGGAGATCCATTTGGTGTTTCACTGAAATCCTAGCATATTCCATCGAACGGATTTGGTATGTTGTTGTAATTTTTGTTGTGCAAATAGCTTTTCAACTGAAATGCTCCCTTCTTTTAACTTGTCTGACTGCATTTTTTGTCATGTAACATATTGATTGTATCTGTAAAATCTTAACGTATAAATTAGACTAGTATCCTAAATATACTTAGCTTCGACATTGGTACATGAGAACTTTTTATCTTAAGTTGTTTGCTTGGATCACTTTGAAATAGTTAATAAAAATCATTACATTAGAAGATGTTCATCACATATTAGCGTCCCTAAAAAGTTAGCTACTCACTTTAAACCATGACAGAACATGTTCTTGTGTCGAATAGAGTTTTTCGAGATTTTTGAAGTGCTTTTTTCTGTTTCGTTTTGCTTTTGTTTGTATCGATAGCTGGTTATGCTCTTCGAGGAATCCTTGTTTCATTTCATTGTTACTTTTAGTGATAACTAACACTTCATGTAACTACAAACTGCACAACTGCTGTGATTCCGTGCATGTTGACTAACTGGACTATATAATAATATGGTCGACTTCACATTTTATTAGGCGTAAAGTTTGATAAGTGTCAGTGTTCCTTGTGCCAATACCTGAATTACGTGCGCCACTGGATGTGTTGACAAAACCCGGTATGTCTCGTAATGTAAATTTCGTCTTATGACTTAATTCCAAGCAGTTACAAAACACAAATTAAATGATTTGTGTGAGGGCTGGGATACTTCTCGGATACCCAAACCGAGATAGGTGGTTTTCTTAGGTGGCCACTCACCGAGCCTTTGACTTGGAGGTCCAAAGCACAAGGCCCCCAAATGCACTGGTACGGCCGAGAGTGGGGAGAGTCTGCTCTCCCTCTCGAAATGCTCTCACATGGCCACTCGTATATAGCCTCTGCCAGGAAAGTCCTACTCACTGCCTTCTCGTGGCGGGGACGTTGTTTACGAAAATGAGAGGACGAAAAGCGAATGTCCGGCGCTTTAACCGGATCCCAAACAAATGGTGCACATGGGCTCCAGTATCCTGAAGGAACAAATGGCGTATGAACTAATCGTTGGTCACCAGCTATTATGAGACTGCATCTCCTCACGATGCTCCACTGCCTTGTGGGTCAGACGTTCAGGTCGAAGGCTCGGGGTGTGGCCCCCTAAGAAAACCACCTGCTTCGGTTTGGGCACCCGGGTAGTATCACAGCCCTCACACAAATCAATTGAGATTTGTGTGGCGCATATGTATTTGGTGCCTCCTTGTACCAATACCTATGTGTTAAAATAAATAAATAATAAAAATAAACCACAAGGTAGTTGGGTAACTTTAGGAGGTGAGGTCCCATAGTGGCCTAACGCCTTTGTCTACCCCCTAAGGATCATGAAACCTTGGTGTACCGTCGGTTTGGAATCAGGGTCTTTTAAATACCCAAGTTGGATCCTCCGTATCCACTAACCCAGTTAAAATATTGTTTTTTTGTCCTCCCAATCTCGTTAAACAATACCCCGTTTGCAAGAGGGAAGTGAGTAGGACTTCCCTGATAGTGGTTGTATACGCGCTGTCAGGTGAAAGAATTTCGAGGGGCGCTGACTCACCACCCCCAGCCGTATTAGGGTATTTGGGAGCAACTATGTGATATATTTGCGCAATACATTTCGGACGATCTGATTACACAAAGTTGTTAAGGCATTGTATATGAAAAATTGGCAAATTAAAGGGTAAGTAGAAACAATGATGATCATAAAGTACACAATGTGAAAACCACGCTGGATAATAAATCAGTATTACTAGGGTTGGTTAAGGGTAAGGACAAATTGTTTTTAAACCCAGTGGTTTTCAACTTTCGTATAACTAAGGCTTCAATAAACTTTGGTTTACGTTCTTGAAAGCTGCTGTACAAAACGGCGAAGGGGGACTCAAAATCAACAGAATTATCGTTTTCATTCAAATGTTTCGCAATCGAGGAATATATTTATCTATCTTGCAGTTTTATTTGATCACTGAAATTTATTTGTTTTTGTAGCCGTTTAGGTTTACGTTCATCCACCTTTACTTGTAGTTCACGATTGTTCCTACCTATGTACGTTTTTCAACACTCATGTAAATTAATAGATGCAGTGGGATGTGATACAATTGGTTACATACTGTCTGGGTTTTTGGTGAACCATAGACCTCGACTTTTCAATAATGATAAGTTAGGCTGCATAAAATGTTCTATTGATAGATAATTTGCATCTTCGTTTCAACATGAGACTATTTGAGTTACCGCTAAATACTAAAGTAATATAAACTCCTTCCGGATGCCAAAACGTCGTAAGTTTGTTCATATTACTACCTTTACCTGATTTATATACTTCAACGGATAACCGTTACTCATCAGTGCTTAAGCTAAGAGCTTTGCGTCTTCCTCAGTAGCATCGCTTGTGCAAATAAGATTGATCTTTTGAATAAGTCATTCATTATTCCACGTTTGTACTAGACTGGACAGTGACTATAAGAACTAAGGTGTTTCTCTGTCCATATAGACTTTCTGTATACGGAAGTTTTGGCGAAATCATCGTCTCTTCTACTAGTCAATATGTCTAGAAAGAGTAACTGGTTGTTCGTCTCTTTTGTAAGTGAAGTATGCTTATGACGTGTGTTGATTTCTCTTAACAAGCAGTTCACATCTTCACGTTTATCACCTATGACTATGATGTCATCCACGTACCTTTCATACAAACACATCTTTGAATTGAGTCTTCACCTAGGTTTTCCTCCTATGCCATAAATACACCAGCCAGAAACGGTCCTAAATGACTACCCTTAGCTGTGCCATCAATCTGTCATAAATGCTCCTCTTTGAAAGTAGATTTCACATTGCCAGTATATAATAATCATAGTAATAATAGTGATAATGATATTAACAATAATTATTTATGAGTTTTAACAGGAAATGGCAATAAGAGGTTATTTCATGAAATATAGTCACATAAAATATCTATTGCCCCCAAATGCCCTGGTACTGCCGAGAGTGAGGAGAGTCAGCTCTACCTCTCGAAATTCTCACACATGGCCACGCGTATACAGCCACTACCAGGGAAGTCCTCACTACTTTCTCGCGGCGGTGTTGTTTACGAAATTGAGAGAACGAAAAGCGAATGTCCGACGCTTTAACCAGGTTGGTGGATATGGAGGATCCGCCTAGGGGAGTTGGAAAACACTGATTCCAAACCAATGGTGCACATGGGCTTCAGGATCCTGAGGGAACAAATGATGTATGAACTAATTCTCGGTAACCGGGCAGTATCACAGCCCACACACAAATCAAGTGACTTGTGTGGCGCATATGTATTCGGTGCCCCTTTGTACCAATATTTATGTGTTCAAATAAATAAATAAATTCTAAGAGATACATTTTTAAATAAAGTGCTTACTTCAAAGGAGAAGATTGTCCCAGTTTTTATATTAATGTTCAATAGGTAATTAATTAATTCTTCCAAAGATCACTTACAAAATTGGCCTCAAGTAGGGCTTAACACTCTTGTCAACCATTTTGCAAGATTATGTGTTGTTGATCACTTTGATGGAATTGAACGTAAGGGGTTATTGGGTTTGTGAGTTTTTGGTAGTCCACATAAATTAGGATGCACCGAACCTATAAGTTTTAATGAACTAAATTCATCTTTGTCAATAGCATTCATGCTAAGTAATTTCATTAGATTTGATTTGGAATTACTTTTCACATTGTTTGCTTCGTTATTGTCTTTGTTTTCGTTTGTTTTTTAATTTGTCTTGTTGACCTTTTTTGCCATATTTAATGTCTTAACAAGTTTATGTGTGACTAGATTGTTCGAGATGTATTGCGCAAATATACCACATAATTCTGATAGCTTTTACTTCCTCTTAAAAGTGTATATTTAAGAGAAAGCATCGCCATATACACCAAAAACTTTGCAGCGTCATTCAAACACTCACGGATCTAAAACTGACGGTTAATGGAGGTGGATTGGTTTAGTGGTAAGGGCGCTTGGCTTTGAGTTGTTTGTTTAGTGGTCCGAAATTCATTTCATCAGATCCAGTTTGAGCGATCAGGCAATATCTTTATTTATCACACCAATCATGTGGCTCAAAGCTTGGTTATAAACCCACATTTAATGATTTCCATCAGCTTGATGGCTATTAGTTATCCATATTTGATAGTAGAAGTGACCAACCGCGGATCAAATACGTAGTAATTAGTTCTAATGTGACATTTAATGTTGAAAATCACGATTTGTCAGTTAAGACGATAGCAGTAACGCTTATTCTTTAAAACGTCAACGCATGATTATAAGCAATAATTATTAGAAAATCGGATAATAATATCTCTAATGGTCTTACTATATCGGAAATCAGATATCAGAACACGAAACGCAATGATCAGCCAACCAATTCACCGGGCTCTGCTTTCTAAGATGAAACCATCGCTTTGTATTCTAACGTATCGCCTTACTAAAACATATTTGGTTGAATTTGATTTATGGTAAGTCACAATCGCCTCATTTTAGTGTAAATTGATAAACCACGAAGTTATAGATTGTCAAGATATGATTTATCAGCATACAAATCGGAAGACTACAACTTATTAATTTTCAGCTGCAATCAGTTTCACCTTTCTGTGACTATATTTTTAGCATGTCTTTCTTACTTCTCTCAGTTCACTTTTACTTTTGCTATTGAATAAAATGACTGAACTCGAGGGATTTGTAAGGTAAAATCTTGAGAATATAAATTCAGGTAGAGGGCAGTGTAGAATTCTTAATAATTGTTCTTTGATCATCTGAATCTTGAAAGTTTAATTACTCTGAACTAATTGGTTTCTTGTCGAATCATGTCTTTTTTCTTGTTAACTTTAATATTTTCCTTGTTATCCCAGTGCTAATCGGTTGTTAATGTGCAATGCTACAATGTTGCTAAATAATGGCTCCATTCAAAACTGAACTATTGATTTAAGTCCCTGATTGAACTGATACCAGAAAAAAAGACACCCAACTGTCCAGCAGAAT